GCATACCCCTCCTGGAGAGTTTCTCCCTTCGCTCTAGACCACCCCTGGGGGAACCCCCAGGGCCCCTATGGATGGTAGAACCATGCCCACCATGTACAAGACACTTTTTCTCTCTTGTTACATCCCTGAATGTGTCCACTCGGCATCATCTATTCATGGCTTCCTGTGGGCCAGCCACTGGGTCTGATACTTCAGGACTGGAAATGATAAGACACTGCTCTGGCCCCAAAGGAGCTTCTTGAGTGAGGCAACAACCAAAGAAGACTAGTGAAGCAAGGGTCTGACACAGGTGAATGCATCAGTCTGGGGAACCGAGTACCAAGGACATGGATCAGAGGGGCTCTAATAGCAGACATGGTGAGCTTCCTTTTCATAGCTACACAGATGTGAAAAGGAAAGGCATTTCTGGGGGGGGAGGGAAGAGACAAAGCCAACACCCCTTCTCACTTGTCCCTTGTCCCAGCAGCTTCCTCTTCTTCTCTCACTCCTTCCCTCCTAACACACCATGGATCACTATGGCTGTTTACCTGAGAATCCACTCACCTCTCCAGGCTGCAGCTCCCCTCTCTGGCCAGATCCGTGTCTGGTACAGTCCCTGTGACTGTCCCAGCCCTCATGCCTTGACCCTGGCAATGAACACTTGGCTTCCTAAATCCTCCACAAGCTTGTCCACAATCTGGGCACTTAAGAATTCCATATGCAGGGATATTTCTTATGCAGGGGATTCAGCAAAGTCCCAGGGATGTCCAGCCTTTTGGCATCTCTGGGCCACACTAGAAGAAGAAGAGTTGTCTTCGGCCACATATTAAATAAATTGTAACACATAATCATTTAAAAAATCCCATAATGTTGTAAGTAAATTTATGATTTTATGTTGGACCGCATACACAGCCATCCTGGGCTGCACGTGGCCCATGGGTCACAGGTTCGACACCCCTGGTATAAACGTCCCCTTGCTCCTAAGAAAAAGAAATCACCCCAAACAAGGAGAAAACAAGGTGCAGAGGAGTCATGCCGAGAGGTTCAGAGGAAGGAGTCAGTTTACTCAGGACTGTTAGAGCAAGAGGAAGTGGGGCGGAAGGGCTATGAACCCCATGGGCAATGGTGCCAGGATCTGCATGTGTGAGATGGAGAGGCGGAGTTAAGGGCAAAGAGGAGTCCACTCCTGGCAGAGTGGGTCCTGGGGGCGTTGGGAAGTCCCTTCGCCCTGAGCAGCAGCAGAATTTTATTTTTCTTCAGCTTGAGTTTGAATGTGCAGGAATAAGATGGCCACAAGGGAGCAGCAGAAGTCAAAAGCTTTCATTGAAAACGTAATTTGTCTAAATTCTCTGCCCACCAGGTAGAGCCTTGGCTGCACACTGGATTCTCCGGAGGAGCTTTAAATAACACTGATGCCAGGTTCCCAAGTCCATAAATTAATTAAATTGGTCTGGGGTACAACCGTAGCATCACACTGTTTCATGTCTCCAGGGGACTTTTAATTTTTAAGATGGGGAAAGAGGTAGAGGAGGAGGAGCAACCTCTTAGACCATTCGACTTTTCAGCAAGGGCAGACAACCACTGGGCTAGACCTCTGTAACTCAAAGCAGGGTTCACAAACCACCAGCACCTCCAGCACCTGGAGCTGATCAGAAATGCAAAATCTCAGGACCCATTCGTACCTGATTCAGAACCTGCACTTTTAACAAGCTCTCCTGGGAATTCACACAGATGTTTGAGGAATGCTGGTCCTAATAACCAGAAGGGCTTTTGAGAAGTTTCTAGTCCAATATCATATCTACAGTTTATAGCTGCAGAGACCGAAGCCCAGAGAGAATCCATATGCTCAATCTGTAATGCATGCCCATTAGCCATGCATTGGGTGGGGTGGCATGAACCTCAAGACCCTGCTCCTCCGGCCCAGAGCCACACCTGGCACCAGATGGCAATAAATGGTGGCAGAAGTTCAGTGGGTTTTGGAACTTCCCAATAGCACTCAGCATGTGGGCTGTGGGGATCCCATAAATGGCTAAGATACCATCCCTGGCTCAAGGTGCTTCCATCCTCATATATAACTCAGGACATACACATGACATGGGCCAAGTATAACCTCTCGCCTTGAGCCAGGCTGTGGGACAGTCTCTAAGACTAGAAAAACAGAATCGTAAGTCGTAGTCTTGTGACCTTGAGCTTGTTATATCATAGAGTGAGGATGACAACAGAAACTTCCTCATAAGGTTACAGTGAGAACTGTCGGTGATAACACACACTGCATACCTGACATCTAGCTGGTGCTCAATATCATGATGACTCCACCCTGCTTAAAATCAGCTCCTTCCAGGGCCTCAGCCATTTGCATGCTTCCGTATCCTCCGCAGCCCCTTGAGGCTCTCCAGCAATGTCTTCTTGCCCGTAATTAATGGTGACATTTGTTGAGTACATATTAAAGCACTTTATATGACCTCATTTGATCCTACAATAATCCTCGGAAATAGGTTTTATTCACAAGCCAACTTAAAGGTGAGGACACTCAAGGACAGACCTCCCACATGCACATTATAGGGGTTTAGATCAGGTTATTGGATAAGCACCCCTTTCCTAGCCATGCTTTCCAAGGGGAGACTGCCCAGGACCTCCTCTATGAACCCTCGAGCCACACTCTCCCTCATAACCCCTTCTCAGACCGTTGTGGGGACAATTTCTGTTCTTTGTTTTGAGCCTTCATCTTATCCTTTGATTGACAGATCCACATTTCCAAAGGCCAGCATCATGTATCTCCATGGACGTCTTTCCCTGAAACCCAGCTGGCCCCAAGTTCCTACCTGCATCCTCTAGCCCGAGCCTCAGGGAGCTCCTTGCTTCTATCTCCGTCATAGCACTAAGTTCATTCTACCCAGAAGTCTAGTCAGCATGGCCAAGTGGGCCTCGTGCCCGACTGTGGATTCTGGTGCGTAGGAATCTGTCCTCAGGGGGCTTCTCACAGACCCGAGCTCAGTGAATACAGGACTTACCTAGTTCTCAGTCCAGTGCCCCTGCACAGCAATGCTGTATGCCTCCCAGTACAACTGTTCATCTGATCCTCCAAGCTGACACTTACCCTCAACAGTCATTCCCCCAACAGTCCTCTCCACCCAGAACTGCCTCCCAACTGCCTCCTAAGATTTTTCGCATGCCTCACATTCCGACAGGCCAACTCCTCCTCAGCCCTTGATATTTTGGGAAAGTGCTATTTGGCCAGTAATTTTTTAGACCATCCCTCAATGTGGTTTTATCTACTATTTCCCCATAAATAAAAACAGATGATGCAATGGGGGCCAGAATAACATGGAAGTGATGTTCCGTCCTCAGTTCATCATATCGACATGTATCATCACTGCAGGTCTTAACTTTGTTGACTTGAAAAAGGTGGTATCTGGCAGGTTTGTCCTTGGAAGAATTACAATTTTTCCCCTTGGTGATTCTTAGCTGTCATCATTATTACTGTGCTGTTTGCCACATGGCAATTCCCCTGCCTCTCAATATATAGATTTGTGTAGATACACTATATACACAATACACATAAACATCTATACACACAGCCAATTATTCCTATCAGAATGGACCCATATTTTATTCTATGAGTTATAATCTATTACTCTGTATATGTACACACACACACTTTTTTTTTTTTTTTTTTTTTTGCCAATAGGACCCCAGAGTCCGACACTAGGAGCAACTTCAGGTTAGCTTTTGAGCGCTTCCAACTTCCTGGCACTGCAACAACTCACCCCGACCTTTGATTCCAACACAACACCAAGGGTTCGTTCTACCTCCCTCCTTCCCCACTGGCAACTCCTTCCTCCACGCTTGAGAAACCTGCCTCTTCCACAACGCACGTACTTACATACTTGGTCCTGCAATACAGTACATCAAAGACTTTCAGAAACCATTCCCCTGTGAAAAAGAAACTAACTAAAGCACATCTATGTGCAGATCTGTTTTTGGTCTCCAGCCTTACGTTACCTGGTAGAGGCACTGTATTCAGAAAGTGAGAGAACGATACACCGGCAAGTCCAAGGCAGTCATCTTACCCCTCGAGAAGGTTAGGGAAGTGGGTCGCGGTGACGACCATCCCTTCGGGGTAGCAGCAGCAGAAATCTATCTCCCCGAGGGAGCTACACGCTCTGCCCGTCCACCCTGCACCCTTCTTCCCTTCTGCCTTTGCTTACAACAATAAAATAGAAAGCCCTGCTCGAAGGGAACGGTGCTACTCTTCCGCCCTTGGAGAAGAGATGCTCCTCTACGTAGTGAAGAAGCAAAATTCTCTGACACAGAAGAGAAAAATAAAAAAACACAGGGTTTAATAAACAAAAAAATCGGACAAATCCAAGGCAGCTTCTTCCCGCCGTTTTTCCACTGACGTCACACTCACGAGGCTTCTGGAATTTTCTCTCCCTTCTCCTAAGTCGCCCCCGCCTGCAATCCAGCGCGGCGCCCGACGTTTTTCCCACCCCGAGCTCCCCTCGGGGGCGCCCTCTCCTCCTCAGCCCGCCCCGCGCAGGCCCGCGGGCTCCCCGGGCCCCACTCGGCGGGGCTCTGGGCGCCCCCCGCAGCGGCGTCGCCCCGCTCGGCCACCGTCCGCCCCGACACCCGCGGTCCCTCGGCGACGCGGGCGATCGTCTCCCGCCCGCTCCAGCGACCGTCGCTGTTCGCGCTCGCCCGAGTCGTCGCCCCCGGCCCCCGCGCCGAAGCCAGGCGGGTCCGAGTGGGCCGGGCCCCGGCCCTCGCCTGTCCGGCTGGCTCGGCGCTCCCTTCCAGCCGCGGAGCCCCGCGGCGCGCGACGGCCCAGGGCCGCGTCCGTCCGGGGGTGGTGGGCGGGGGGCACGTTCCCCCCGCGGAGACCCCTCCTCTCCCGGAAGGGCGACCCGCTTGCTTCCGCGCGTGCGCCCCAAATATCCCCAGGTGTGGGCGGGGTCGGCGGCCGAAGGGCCCGCGGGAGGCCGGGAACGCAGTGGGTTTCGCCCGGGAGAGACTGACACTCGGCCTTCTTGGCGCAGCGGGCAGCTCGTCAGTCTCATAATCTGAAGGTCCTGAGTTCGAGCCTCAGAGAGGGCAGGCCCTTGTTCCCCCCCACCCCCACCCCGCGGCGGGCCGGGCACCGCCGGAAAACTGAGCACGCTGGTGCTCGGGCGCTACCGCTGAACTAAAGAAGTGGAAGTTACCGCCGCCGGAGTGACGGTGGTTTCCTCTCCAAACGCGCTTGGCGCCACTGGGGAACAGATACACCGAGGCGGAGAGGTTCCATCCCTTTTGTGACAGCTGTGAAAATCGGTCTCCTAGGCCATTTCTGATCTTCTCCTCTGACTTTCTGGGGGCAAGACCGTGTCCCCAGGTTCTTTCCAGTTGCCTTCTGAGACTGTCCTCGCTGCATTCTGGACTCCCGAGAACGCGGGAGGCGGGAAGACTCCGGCGGTCGGTGTCCGCCCCCAGCGTGGTCCCGGGGAGCCGGGTGGGGGCGACGCGGCTGCCCCGGGATGACCACGCTGTGGGCGTAGCTTTGGCCGAATCCTTCCTTTTTAAAAACTTCGTTTTTGTGATAACATTTTATTTGAGCCAAACCGACGACATATGCCTGGAAGCAAGATCTCACATGTTCCATGAATCCTTCCATTTTTTATTATTAAGTTTACAATAGATCTCAAATACTTGAGATTTATTCTCTATTAGTTTTTCATTTCAAAAATAGGAACATTTCTAGTTTTAATTTTGTCTTAATTGCATTGTGGTCATAAAATGCATTCTGTAAATTCTCTGAAATTTACTACTCAGTACATGGTCAAGTTTTTAAATGTTTTGTGTATGTGGAAAAAATGTATTCTGTAGTGGTTGTATGAATTGTTCTAAGTTTATTAGTTATGTTGTTCAACTCGACTATGATTTTTTGTTTAAACTATTAACAGATTTGTCTATTTTTGTCAATTTTTCTTCATAAATTTTGAGACTACATTAATAAATGCAAAAAGCATAATAGAATTCTTGCATCTTCTTGGTAAATTGAACATTTATGAAGTGTTCACCTTTATCTCAGATATTGCTCTTTGTTTTAGAGCATGTGATCTAAAATTAATATATCAGCTCACTTTGATTTAGTGTGTGATGAAATATCTTATTCATACTTTCTACCCTTATATTTTAAACATGTACATTTGAGAATTTTTAAAATCCAATCATATAATATCAACAGATTAATAGGAATACTTACTCTATTTACATTCACTATAATTATTCATATATTTAAATTTAAATCTACCATTTTAATAGCTTTTCTTGTTTGTTCTGCATGTTTTTTGTTGCTTTCTTTTCTTCCTTTGGATTGCCTTGTCATTATTATATAATTTAATGCATATTAATAATAGATAATATAAAATTAAATGATGCAGTATTAATGTAATAAACTAATACATTCACACTAGTTATAAATGTGAAATAATTATTATATTCTATTATTCAATATTTTCCTTCTATTAGAAACTGTACCCTTATTTAATACTCATTTTGTAATTAACCTAGAAACTATAATGCTACTCCTTGACTTATCGAGATTACTATATAATTGGGCATTTTAGCTTTTCAGAAAACAATTTAGACATTTTTTACTTTATCACTCTCAATTATTACACTCTCAATCTATGTGTGTTTGTTTTCAATTCACTTTGACATATACCTAGGAGTGAAATGGCTGGATCATATGGTAACTTGGCTTTCAGCATTCTAAAAGAGCTACCAAACTTTTTCCAAGGGGCTGCACCATTTTACAATCCCACCAGTAATGTACGGAGGTTCCAATTTCTTTACATCCTCACCAATACTTGTTATTGTCTGTCTTTTTTATTCTAGCCATCCCAGTAAGTGTGAAGTAATATCTCACCATGTGTTTCATTTGCATTTCCCCAATATTGAGCATCCTTTCCTGTGCTTACTGGCCAATTGTATACCTCCTTTGAAGAAAGGTCTACTCACATCCTTTTCTCTTTAAAAACTGATTTGCTTATCTTTTGTTATTGAGTTGTAAGAATTCTTTATATATTTTGGATATAAGTCCTTTACCAAAAAAATATGATTTGCAGATATTTTCTCCCTTTCTGTGGGTTGTCTGTCTATTCACTTTCTTGATGCACTCATTTGAGCCACTCATTTTTAATTTGATGGATTTTGTTTTTGAAGAAATAAACACTGCAGATAGAGTTGAAGCTCCCTCTGTGTGTGTGTGTGAGTGTATGTGTGTGGGGTTTTTTTTAGATTTTACTTATTTGTTTTAGAGAGAGGAAGGGAGAGAGGGAAACATCAATGTGTGGGTGCGGGACACTGTAATCTGGTGGGCTGTGTCTGAGCAGACTACAGAGGGCAAGGAAAAGGGTGGGAGGGCTTTTAAGGGTGTGTAGCAGTCCCCTGGGGAAGGTTGGTCACCCTACTGATCTACCCCAGGTGTCCTGGGTATAGGTGTTTACAAGACAATGTCTTCTGATCAGGGATGGCTGATTTGGGAACAAAAGCCTGAGAGATTTTTGGGCCTTGTTTCAGGGAAAAGCTTTAGGGAAAGGGGAAAGGCAGTGAGGATTCAACCGGTTCCCATCAGGAGGCCGGCAGTTACGCCTCAGTTGTTTCTGATAACGGGGAGTCTCATGGTCAGGTATCAGCGCATGACGCATACCTTCTTTGTTCCAGCATAGGCGGTGGCTCAGGTCCCAGTACATTCCAACATAAAGCTAGATGGTCTAGCCAACTGCACACCTGGGCTACAGGGCATGGCCTATTGCTCTGAGGACGCAGGCCTGTATAGCATGATACTGTGCAGACAACACAAGATTAAGTTGAGAAGAAGAGGAAATGATGCAACCAAGAGATGAGGTGAACACGAGGTATATGAGGCTGCTACTGGAGTAATTCGGCACACCGTCTTACAGTAAACTTTCTTTTATAAGTAGAAAGAGTACGTTCTAAAATAATGATAAAAAGCATTGTATAGTAAATACATAAACCAGTAGCATTTATTGTTCAGGTGTTATATGCCGTACATAATTGTATGTGCTGTACTTTTATATGATGGCAGTGCATGTTTGCACCAGCACCACCACCAACACACGGGGCTTTGTGCTATGATGGCACGATGGCTACATCACTAGGCGAGAGGAAATTCTAACTCCACTATAATTTGTGGGACCACTGTTACACACCTTCCATCAGAACGAAAGTCATTACACGGCACATGCCTGCATATACATAAAACCACATTTTGTGTACCCACTCATCCATCGATGGATGTCACAAATTTTGGAGTCTATTTGTTTCTATAGCCCAGTAGATTGGTCTACTGTTAGCCTTTACTCTTTGTATCATATTTTTACATGGATGCTAATTACATTACTTAGAGGCACACTGGCTAGAGCAGGTTAGACAAACTACTGCCAGCAGATCAATCTGGCCGCTGACTGTTTTTATAAAGTTTTATTGGAATCCAGTCCCATACAGTCATGTACTGTAGCTTCCGTGCTACAGCAGTGAAGTGGAGTAATTGGTGCAAAGACCATATAGCAAAGCCTAAAATATGACCTGGCCCTTTAAGTTTGCCTGTTTTCAGGACTATAGTAACAAACACACTCCAAAATTTATAACAGCTCAAATATAAGTTTATTTCTTTTCCACATAATAGTCCAAAGTGGGCAACTTTTCCCTACACTGGATTTGTGGACACAGGATGCTTCCACCTCACTGTTCTGCAGTCCTCGAGGGCTTCCATATCATTTGCCCTGAGCTTGTAGAAAAAGGACAGGAACCTGGAGGGGACACTCCTAACTCCTTTAGCCTTGGCCCAGAAATGAGACACATTCTTCACTCATGATCTGTCAGTAAGAATTAGGTACCCAGCAACATCTCAATGCAAAGGATGGATGGCACACTTGGTCCCTGGCTTTGCAGCCTCCTCCAAGTGACACCTAGAAGGTACACATTTTAGTGGGCAGCCATCCATCTCAGTCATGCCAACACTAAGCAAAGAGGAAGTGGGACAGAGGAGAATTAGAAAAGCAGTTCTCTCCGGCTTGCTTTCGGGAGCTGGGGCATTTTCATCTTGGAGGCAGCCAGACAAAATATTACATCATCACACCCTGAAACATAAGGAAATTGCCCTGAAAGAGAAATGATAAGTAGCTTTTGACTGGCATCAAATGCCAGAATTAGGATCAGGACTTCCAAAGACTGAGATAAGGTGAGGCATCGTGAAGCAGGATGCTAAAAGGAAAGAGAGCCCTTCTTCAGGGTATAGTTCGACCTGCTCATGGAATCTTAATTGGGTCAAGAGTTGAGCATTGTTGGTCTAGCAACTCTGATACATTCTGAAAGTATGTACATGCACATACATTTCTTTTTGAGTCTTCTTAAATTCCAAGAATTCCCTGAAACTCCCCACCCCAAAATGTTACAAACAAAACTAAGTCTGGTCTAACATTCTTACCCTACCCTAGAATTTGCTGAATGGCGGCATAAGCAATCCACCAGAGTTGAGTTTGTTATTGTAAAGAACTTACCACATATCCAGACCATTCTGGTTTTTGCTTTCCTATTTTATTAATTATAAAAATGAGTTTCCTCACCAAAACCCAGCAATCAGTGGTGGAAAAATAAGAAAATGAAAAATCCTAAACTGTACAATAAAAAACTAGGAGGATGGCCTAGGGGCATGTTGGGGGCAGGCAGGGGACACAGATGAGCCACCATCAAGAACGAGGCAGAGGTGCAGGTGGCTTCGGAAGTTGCCCAGCACCCAAGGTCACCCTCACAGCAGGCTGGCCTTCTCTGGGCTTCATCAGCAGGACCATGGTACACAACCTTCAATACAAGAGCTGGTAAACCGAGGCACACTTCTTGGAGCCCGTGACTAGGTACTCGCTGTCGGAGGACACATCACAACACACAATATCTGTAGACTCCTGTGCCTAGAGGAAAAAGAGGCCAAAAAGGGGACTACATGCAGGAGCCAGGCTTGGGCAAGAGGGGCAGTCTTCATCTAGGGCTCTTTCAAGGCTCAGTATACACCTGAGACTCAGTTTGGGGACAAGGCCAGATATCAGGGCTCAAGGTGGAGCCCCCGAGTGTTTAGGACCTTAAGTCCTCTTTCCCCCAATCAACTAAACAGCCCGGGTGTCATCTCAGAGCTACTCCCCTGCACTGTCTCTGGGACCTGACCAACTGGGATCTGAGGCTATAGCTCCAAGTGCCTGGGTTTCACATCCCTCCTTCCAGTACCTTAAACAACCTCTGTAGAGAAGGTGCAGCTAGGCAGTGGATTGACTGGCCCATTGTGGTCACAAAATAGCTCCCTGTGAAGGAAAGACCGATTGATGGAGGGGCCAGACACTGCATTCCAGTCCTGACTCTGTTCCCAACTGGACTAGGGAAAAGGTTTTTCTGCCTTAGTTTCCCCAAACCTAAAAATCAGAGACAAACCCAAACCGTCCCCTCACCAGCCCCTCCACCCCAGCCACACGGGATCGTGGTGAGCATCACTGAACAAAAGGACACTCAGCCCGGGCTTCATGCCTCTTCTGTCTGTCTGCGTCTTCAGGCTGTCACTCTGTGGAGGAAGCTACCATTTCAGAGACAGTCAGGAAAGGAGAGGAGGTGAGTAGACAGAAAGCAAGAAAGCCAGCCAGGCCATCAGTGGGAAGGGGGTGTGACGCAGGGGTGAGAGCAGTGGGAAGGTGGACACCAGGATCTCTGCTTGGCTGGATCAGTGCTGGAGAGGGAGGAATTAGGAGTCTGAATTAAGGCTGGACCCAGGCTCTACATGTAAGTAGATACCCTGCAAAGTGACAGGTCACCCTCAGGTGTCACCTGGTTTCTCACTCACCAGAGGAGGCAAACTTCAGGCTGTGGTGGTGGACGAATCTATTGATGCAGGCCTTAAACTTCTCCTTCCGGTGTGAGTGCAGGATCATGATATCACTTGTTCTCAGGCCCACTAACACCCATTCCTCACTGGGGTCGTGAGTAATACTGAGGATCTGTTGGGGAGAAGATCCGGAGTCAGTGCTCAAGGCTGCCCAACCCCATCCTCAATGCCCGCCCCCACACTCAAGGCCTGCTCCTGCGGGAACCCACAGCTCCCAGTCTTGGGCAGCCACACTCAGCCCAGGGGCAGCTGGCCAGGCACCTCATGATGCAGACTGAGCTGCTGCAGCTTCTGGCAACTCCTCAGGTCCCAGGAATACAGTCTGGTGTCTTCACCTCCCGTCCAGAACTTATTGCCTGTGAGGTCCACGCATCGGGACCCATATTCGGGGATTTCTTGCTTCCTGGAGGAAAAGAACTCAGAGGTTTGTGTATTAGTTAGACGCCCCCCCCAGAAGTTTTGGGCCCACAAAGGCCTTAGAGGTACCCCAGGTGTATTCTCCACACTGACTCACCTAGTCCCACTCCACAGACGGGAAAGTGAGGTCCAGCAAGGATACATGGTTTCCCAAGCACCGTACCATCAGGCCCTCCCACAGGTCATACCTGATCAAGATTTGGTTCTGCAAATCCCAAATCTCAACGAATCCTTTGAAGCAAGCCAGGCAGATCTGGGCATTGGAGGAGAGGGCCAGCGAGTAGCATATGGGGCCGGTGGAGGCCAGCTGTGCCCTGATACGAGGTGTGGGTGCCAGATCCCAAAGAGTCAGGGTCCGGGACACCCCGCCGGTGATCAGGCTCTGCTCGTCGGGGAACAGCTTACAGGTGAGGACAGAGTTCTGACGGTCCTGTAGGAATGGTGTGCATTCTCATAACCCCTTCTCCAAGCACAGGCTCTGAGCCTCCTCACAGAACACTGTCTGGGTTGCCCCAAGCCCTCTAAACACCCTCACCTGAAAGTTCAGCTGAGCCTGAGGGGCCTTGTCCCAGGTGTGCAGAGCACTCTTATCCCACACCTTGATGTAGCCGTGACCACACGTGTACACGTGGTGAGTCGAGCTACTGATGGCAATGGCACAGACTCTCTTGCCGTGGCGGAGTCTGCCTACCTTCAAGAGTGCACGTGGGGTCCTCGGCCTGACAACCACTTCACCTGCAATGGGAGGCTGGGGAGGGGAGGAGGCAGGTGGCCATGAATGGGTCATAGCCCTGCGCCACCATCATCCATGGGGACTGCCTGTCCCTGTCCTCTGACTACACTCATCACCGTTTGTGACAGAGCTCCTTGCTCACCCCCAGGAGGAACCGTGTCCTCCTACGGGGACCCCAGACCAGCAACATCTTCTGCACTAGCCCAGGTTGCACCCAGGTTTCCTTCCTTCATAAATGGGGCCACGTTTTTGAGATTATTCTGAGCAGCAGTGAGTGCAGAGCGTGACTCAGAGACCCTTAGGACACAGCCCTCCAGGTGGTGAGTCTGTGGGTGAAAGGCCTTGTACACTGACAGTGGGAGAAGGGGGGCAGTCTCGTTCGAAAGCAGCAGGGAACCACAAGACACCCACCGCCTATGGGGCAGGATGAGTGTGGACACAGTGCACACCCTCGCCTTCTTCTTACTAGCTTCTTGTTTGGGGGGAGGGGGACAGAGATGGGGAAGATCCCAAGTTGGGTGTTTTTTTTTTGTTTTTTTTTTTAAATAAGACACTTACGACTGCTTTGAGGAATGACCGGACTTCGTCACTGGAAGGTGGCAAAGGACCAGGCTGGCCTGCAGGGAAACACCAATGCCCACCTGCTCACAGAGAGGGTGTCTGGCAGCCTGTTCTCCTGACACTGGGGCCTCACTTTTGGTCCCCATCTGAGGACTTTGAGCTACCACCCTCCCTGCCCACACTGTCCTGGTGAGACTTACCAACCCTGGATCCTGGTAGGTAGCTATGACAAATGGAGAGGAGAGAGAGCATGAAATGGAGAGCTCTGAGCCAGGATTCCCACCCTCCCCGCCCTGTCCGGCAGGTGAGTTCCCTCCCCCACCAGTCTGTGCAAGGGAGACCTACCTGGAGCCAAACTCTGCATCTTCTCTTGGCTCCCCTGCAGAGAACCAGCTGGCCTGGAGCTCAGATTTGTCTAGGGCCTGGGAGGCCCACTGCTGCAGGGTCAGAGAGCTCATCTCCTGATAAACTGGGCCTTCCTGTGCTGGGGAAGCTAGGGGCCACTGGGGTAAATCATCCACTCCATCCAGCTGGGACTGTGCTTCAAGCCCATGCTGGGCAGAAATGTCAGAGTCTTCTGACTTATACTTCCTCTCCTCTGGTTCATCATAAACTCTGAGGATAGTGAACGAGTTCCCTTCCTTCTCTCCACTCATGTTCTTAGATCGACAAAGCGCCTGAGCACCTGGTTGTAGGGTGTGAGGAATGGCTCCGTCAAACAGATGCTGGGTTCCCAGTTCCTCCTGATCCCCTGTAGCAAGATTGAAAACAGATGCGCTGTTTTGGCGCCTAGTTAGAATGGTCAGAGAACACGTCTCATGGTGAGAGGATTCAAAATATTGGCTGCTGACTAAATTTTTATACAAAAAGTTGGCAGCAATGGTGAAAAGTTTCACACAGACATTTTGAGATGCAACCTGGCATTATGTTTTTCCTATTAGACACACAGACTGCATTTCCAGTCCTATAAAATCAAAATCACCCTTAAATCTGATGGTCAGTTTGTCAAACAAAGGCTGAGTAAAATGGAAGGCCACAGGAAACTATGCTCACATCACAGGGCCTCTTGTCCCCTGCAGGGGACAGCATGGAAGAACCGTGAAGAAGTCACGCAAACAGGATGTTCCATTTGGATGGGGCAAGGCTACAGAGTGATGAGGAGGGTGGCTGCTGGTGATCATCTTTCCCACCCTATGGGAGAATTCTGAGAACTCAATGGAATCACGCATGGAGAATACTCAGAATTATGTAAGGTTAGTGACAATTAGTGGCAGAGATCGTTTATTTGCAGAACGCGCCAGGGATCAAAGCCTGGAGGATTTAAGGCAAACCAAGTGCCTTCATTCAGGCTAGCCCCAGAAGGCCCTTGGGGGGGGGGGTGCAGAATCCAGTGTCCCATGAACAGGGAATATTAGAAACCCCAGGGGCAAAGTGATGGTGGTACTGGGGAGGGCGTCTTCCAATTGGAACCAAGCCTTTGCTGACCAGCCTCGGTCACTGGCTCTCAGACACCACCTCTCCCCGAACGCTCCAGCACGTTCCCTGGAGGGCCCAGGCTGCCCGCCCCTAGGGAAAGGCAGGGCAGTTGTACTGCAGCCTCCATGACTCTTGACACCTTTGAGCTCTCGCTATGTGTTTGGTCACCAACCAATGCTTTTCACAGCTGAGCCCATTTTACTCTCACAATTGTGTGGGTCACATTTTACAAATGTTTGAAACTGAACACAGAGCAGGTGAGAAAATAGGTAGAAAGCACAGAGAAGAGGTTCAAACGCGGCCCTGTCTGGCTCTAAACAGTTTCCTTCCCTACCTCCCTGTCAGAGGAAGAAAGGCGACATACACCATAATTATAACTGCAGTTTCCCTGAGACCTAGTACTTCCACTTTGAAGGATTCATCCTAAAGGTGTACATGAATGTATGCAGGAAAATACATGTACAAGCTGAAGCATCGTGGCATTAGTTGTGATAGCAGATGATTGGACAAGTTCATGGCAGGGGACAGGTGAAATAAGTTATAGTATTTACACAATATGGAATACTACACAACTGTGAAAATAACAAGGTCACAATAATGCATGAATATGGAAAATTCCAAGGTGTGTTAAAGGAGGAAAGGGTGGATTCAGGAAATATGCAGCTTTTGTGTAAAAGAAGGATGAAAATGAGAACCTTTTCCTGCATATGTTTGTATGCACATATTAGGAAGAGTGTTGCCCTAGGGGATGGAAATTGGCAAACAGGAAAGATGAATGGGAAGGAGATTTGTTGCTGCAAAACTTGGGGTCGTTTTTTGCATATCTGTGGCTATCTGAATCTAAATTTAAAACTGTTGATACTTAAGTCTTTTTTTCAACCAAGTCCTTTTTTGGTCATGTTCCTCCCAATAATTTGGGGCCCTCATGAGTCCTATTACTTATTTAAATAATTTAACAAACCATCCTGACACACCTCAGGCCCCTTTAACTGGGATGCCAGGGCTGGGTAAGAGCACAGAGCACACGTGTTCCCAGCCCAGTGTGATAAGGAGGGGCCAGCTGTCCAGCCAGGCTCCCGCTTGGGGGTAAAGGTTAAAGGCAGTGAGGCCATTTCACCCCAAGAATAAGATAAGGCTTTCTAGAAAGAGCAGAAAGAAGAGTTGACAACCCAGACTCCCCCTCAGCTCTCTCCCTGGAGCTGGAAATACAGAGACCTCTCCCTTAGCAGGCAACTCTCTCCTTCCCAAGTTTCAACACAAAATGCTAGAGCTGGGAGTCAACCCTGCCCATGAGACAAGCACTCACCAATCCTCATGGAGTGAAACTCACCTCTGAAAGCAGAAGGTCAAATCCTAGAGCTGGGAAGTCAGTGGAGCTGAGATTTAGCTCCTGCTGACAACACTCGTCTCCTAGCTCTGGACCTTCCCCTGTACACCCAGGCACTGCCCCTGCCCCTACAGTGCAGCAGCTTTTAAACTTGACTCTAATTATAATCAAGCCCTAGGTCAGAACCTAGGTCAGGTATCTGGCCCATGAATGGCTTATCTACTGGGTGTGGCCACACCACAACCAACCACAGAGCCACAGCCGGGTGGCCATTTCCGATGAGTTCCTGTGTCCTTGGATGAGGGGCCAGATGGGGATCTGCCAGGTAAATTCATGGCCGCAGGGGAGACAGAATGAGAAATTTTTACGGGGACAAGTCTTTAGATTGTGTTTGGGCCACCCTACAAGAGCCAGTGTTTGTTCAAAGCTGGATGGTTGGGTTGGGTTATACAGAGGAGCCATTTCAAATTTTCATCTCTGGATGAATCCCTTTTGCTCAGGAAGGCTAACTTTGGGATGACACCAACAGGGGTGACTACGGGAGGAAGGAAGAGCCACTTTTCTTTTCCTTCCCCACCATCTGACTTAAGCAGGCCTGGCTCTGTGACCTTTCCATCTTTCACCAGTGTCTTTGAAAGTGAAGACCAGGGAAGCCTTTCTTTTCTGCGGCTGTCTCATCCAGTGGTTCTTAAATTTGAGCACTCATCAGAACTCCCTGGAGGGCTTGCTAACGCAGAGTGCCGGCCCGCCCCCAGAGTTTCTGATTCTCCAGGTCTGGGGTAGGGCCCAGGACTTTGTATTTCTAAGAAGTTCCCATGTGATGTCACCATGCTGTGCTACTGCTGGTCTGGGGGCCCCATCTGAGAAGCCCTGCCTATCCCTTCTGTCTGGTAGTCATTTCTGACAGGAGAGGAAGGGGCAGTGAAGCTGGATCCTCTCCCTCCAACTTACCTCCACCACTGGCCCTGCCTTCCCCCTGAACACATTCTTCTGTTCCATTTAGGGGCCTCAGGCAGTTTGGCTGGTGGCTTTCTTACCTTTGCTTCCCTAGGAGATGAGCCAGCAAGCTGCTGGAGCCCCTGCCCAGAGACTCAGGCCAGCTATAGTCAAATGTGGTGATGGTGAGAGTGGGAACCCCTGACAACTGGTGGGTGAACACTGAAGCTAAAGTTTGGTTCCTCAGAGGCGGAGCTGAAACTTCAGTCTCCAGATGTTTATTTGGAGGCTGGAGTGCCCTCAACAGGAGAGCAACCCAATTCTTACCACCTCCAAGACATTTGTGGTCATAGCCCGACGTGCTTGACGGTCGATGGTCGGTGGTGCTTAGGATACTGCTCCCCTACCCCTACCCCTACCCAAGGCAGCACTAGAGCCCCCTGGGAATTCACTTCTGTTGTTGATGAAAATGTATAAACTATATAAGCACAGGCATGAATCACTTCTCTTACTGATTCACTGACATCGCCCCCCACCTCCACCAGTGAGCTTGTTGTCCACAGGGAGAGACAATAAATTAGCAGCTCCAAGTAGAAAAGGGGAAGAGGAGTGGCACAGTAGGAGTTAATCACTCCTAGACAGAGGTGAGGGCAGAGAGCTGGGGGAGGAGGACGCAGAGCAGGCAATGCTGACCAAGGGGACAGGGAGGCCAGCAAGGGGGAGGTGGCGTTTGGCTCAGCTCACTGTGAAGAGAGAGGGGAAGCCCTCCCCTGCAGAAAGGGCACTGCATGGCATACCCAGGACCCTCCTCCCTGTTCACATGGTCCCTGTGCTTCCTCTCTCTTCTTCCCTCTTTGTCACGGTAGCCTCCCGCCACCACTCCTTATCATGTGCCCTTCCCAGGAGAGCATGGTGGGGGGTCCCATCACCGCCATCTTACAACCTCACACCTGCGGCCGTGCTGTGGACGGCTTGTACTCTGAATCCTGCCTGTCATCTCCTGTCCTGGACCCTAGACCCGGGACCCTTTACCTTTAAGCAAAGCCCACTGCCCTTCGCTCTCATGGCCCCGCTGGCAACTGGCCCCTCTTCACAGTCCTCCACAGTAGCCTTCCTTATGTGAGTTTACAGTATGGACCTCTGGGGTTGGGGAAGAGGGGTGGGGGGTCGTGCTTCTTTTTTAAAAAGTCTGCAATGCTCTGGCCTAACCATTCTGAGACTTCTTCCGACCCCGGAGGGCGCAGGCTCTCGCCCGCGCCTAGCTCTGTGCAGTCAGGCGCCGCCGCAGGCCTTCCGGGTTTCTCAGATCATGTCCACCCCTACCCTTAAGCCCAGCAGATGCGCCGGATTTTCCATCAAGAGTTCGGATCAGGCTACCCTTGTGGTTGTTTTCCCGCCCTCACACAGAGCGGGCTGTGGCAGCTCCTGCCCTGCAATGAGCGAACTGGCCACCAGGGGTAGCAGGAGGCCAAGCCCGGCGGCCCAGTGACTCCAAATGGCTTCTCCTTGTCCAACTGCAAGTCTCGGGCGCTAGAGGCGCAGGCCTGACATCCCTCTTCCCTCTCACACCGAGGCCAAAACAGTCCCGGGGCAAGAGGGCGCGCGCCCAAGGCTGCCTGGGGAGTGAAGGGCCGCTGGGGAAAGCCACCCCCCCATCTCCTGACCCCGCGCGCCCGCGGCCCAGGGCGGGTGGGATCCGGAGCTTCGCGTCCACACGCTGGGAGCACGTGGGTTCTGGGCTCTCAGGCCAAAGGTGGACGGCGGACACGCGCAACTACTCTTACCGTGGCGGGCTGAAGGAAACTAGCCAGGAGAGGTGGTGCCGCGCGACCGTGCAGCTGGGTAGGGCTTCCTGGAGGCTGGGCTTGGGCTGAGCGTGGGTGGGATTTCCGTGGCCGGGAGGGGATGGGGCCACACTTCAGGATCACCAGAGTTTCGGAGCCTCCGACCAGCCCGCGCGGGTACAGGGCGGGATGGGTGAGCAGTGGGAGAGGAAGTTGGAGCAGGAGGGAGGCTCGGGCGCCGGGCGGCGGAGGGCAGGCGGAGGGCAGGCGGAGGGCAGGCGCAGGGCAGGCGCAGGACAGGCGCGGGACCCAGAGCCCTGCCAAGGGCTGGAAGCTGTCGGATGCGCTGAGACCACGTGGTGTGTGGTGCCGGTGGCGCCTGGGAGATGGGGGCAGGGGCAGCGTGGAGCTCTCTGAGAAGGCCGAGGCTCGCTCACCTCAGGTTCCCCAGCACTCCGCGAGCCCCGGCCTGCCGAAGGGGCCTGCCTTCCACACACGTTCAACTGAATGGAGCCGTCTGTGTAAGGGGAAGGTGGCCTCAGGTCCTCGTCAGGATAGGGTAGCAGGGTGAGGTTGTGGTCTGGGGAGGATGGAGACCTCAGAGGCCGAGAGCCCGGAAGCCTCTCCTCAGGACCCTACCCCACCGCGTGGAGGGGAAGGCTGTACTGAGCTTCTTGCCCCCCCTCCCCCATGATGCTGAGCCCTGCCTGCACCAGCTCAAGGACCCACCTATCTCCGCCCTGCCTGGGCCCCTCTCGCCAGGCTCGCTGGGTGTGTGTGGCAGCCATGCCTTCCTCTGAACCTCAGTTTCCCTTCCTGACCTGGGCCCCGCATAACTGCATATTCTCTGAGAGCCCTTCCAGTGTGACAGACTGGGGTGGGAGGGTGCTCTCTGCTACAGGGACAGAACGTGCTGACCAAGACTGACGGAGAAAGACTAACCCTGGCTTCCAGGCCCATGGCTCCAAGTCAGAAAAGTGAGAGGATGGGGTCTCCAGTACTGTGGCTCCGTTTTGTCCTTATAAGGCCTCCACTGGACCCAAGGAGTTCTGGGCCATGGGGCCACAGGACTTCATGAATCCTTGCATCTACTTTCTCCTGGTGTCCTTGGGGTCTGAACAGAAGGACTTGCCCTGGACAAAACCAAACACAGAGAAGTAGGGAACGCTTAGTGACCAATCAGGTAGGAAGGGCCTGGAGGCCTAGGACCAGCCCCTAACCCCTAAGCTGACCAGGAGCCTGAGACCCAGAGAGGCCAAGGTGACACTGAACATTGGTGGCAGATCCTGGATACTGAGTTGTCGTCAGTGACTCTTGACCCTCCTCCAGTCCCTTCCTAGTTTCTGCCACAGCACAGACTGCCAGACCCTGCTGGGAACCAGGATTGTAGGACTTCCTGTGCCCACCTCCCGACTGGCACATCCTGAAGCCATCTACAGGCTGTGAACCAGGAAGGTCAGAGCGAGCTGTGGCCCTCTAACCTCCTTTGGCCTGGGTAAGTGACCATGTCAGCCAATGGTTTGCCGTGTGACTAGGGACAATGCCATCTATCTCTGGGCCTGTTTCCCTCTAAGTAAATGGACTTGGACCCCATGACTTGGGGTGGGGCATCTCCGGGTCTCAGTGGTCAGGAATTTCCCAGAGGAACAGGGCCAAAGGGTCAGGGGAAGGAGGGCCCTGCTCCAGGGTCTGCCTCCACACATGCTCAGGTCCTAGCTTGAAAGTGGGGGAGAGGGGGACCTCTACAATGGCATCTCTGGACACTGCTCAAGTCTTATACTGTCATTAGTTTTCTGACAGAAGTATTTCCTTTGAAGTACTCAAGACAGCACTCCTAGCCAACACTGCTCACCCAAGCTAGAGCACAGGAGCAGGGAGGTGGCCTATGCCTGTCTCTGTATGTCCATCTTTGATGCATGTGACTACAGGAGAGTCCATGGACTCCCATTAACACTGAAGGCTTTCCCACACACCTGACACTGATAGGGCTTCTCCCCACTGTGGACTGTTTGATGTGTGATGTAGTGGGAACTGTAACTGAAGCTTTTCCCACACTCCACACATTTGAACGGTTTCTCCCCACTATGAAGTCTTTGATACCAAATTAATTTTGCCTTAATGCTAAAGGCTTTGTTACACTCCTTACACTGGTAGGGCTTCTCTCCAGTGTAGCTATCTTGATGATGATTAAATTGAGAGTTATACTTAAAGTTTTCTACTAATCCTTCACAGTCAAAAGGTCTTTCTCTAGAATTACTTATTTCATGATAAGTAAGTTTTGTGTCAAAGTTCAAGGCTTTCTTCAGTCCCATACACTTAGGGGGTTCCTCTGTGGGAGGAAGGTCTGGGGGCTTCCTGTGTGTGGTTGTATGCACGTTCTAATTTTCACTTCTTAGAGTGCTATCGAGACTGAACATCTTAGTCATTTTTGTATTTTTTTAAAGCTGCCTGCTAGTGTCATTTGTGGAGTTTTATTAGATTACTTATCTTTCTCTTAATGGTAAGACCTCTTTCCATGTATTACTTTTCTACAACAAATTTTACAAAGTTATTTCTACATTTGTGCTTTATTGTTTAACCTTATTTTGGATTATTTAAAATGAAAACAAGTATTTAATTTTGAAGCCAATTTATTACTATTTTCCCTTTTATTTGGTTTCTAGATTTCATCTGATGCTTAGGAAGGTTTTCTCTATTCCATGAAAATAAAAAATTTACTCACATTCTTCTTTTAAGGAAATCTTTATTGTTTTTCCTCTTTACAAAAGTTATGCATGCTTGTCAAAAATGAAAAAGAAATAAATTAAGTAGAATGAATATCTTTTAAGTTTTTCTATCCAAGAACAAGGTTTCTCTCTCTCTCCCCCATTAAGTTTCCTTTTGTGGCCCTCGGTGGAGATCCATGTAGGTCCTCCATTACAATTAAGTTTATTCCTAGAAAAGTCTACTTTTCTTGATTGTGTTGGGAATGGGATATATTCTAATTGGTTTCTGGTATAAAAGAAAGCATTTGTTTTTTAATGTTGCTTTTTAACTGGTCATCATTCCTGATTTAAAATGGAATAAAATGAAAAAAGTCTGTTTCCATGTGAAGACTGTCATAATATTAATTTCTCTCTCTGGGTTTCCCACCAGGGTAAATCTGGCGACACCTGATTCGGTTCGGCATTAATCTTGAGAGTTTTCTACATCCTTCTCACTAGGATTTTTCTTCACTATGGACATTCTGATGCTGATTAAGTTGGAAGCTAAACCTGAAGGCTTTGCCACACACATTACACACAAAGGGCTTCTTCCAAGTGTGGACAGTCTGATGTATAATGCAGTCAGAACTATAGCTGAAGCCTTTGCCACACTCCACACACCTGAAGGGTTTCTCTCCAGTGTGACTTCTCTGATGCCGAATTAAATGGGCGTTAACATGGAAAGCTTTTCCACACTCCTTACACTGAAAGGGTTTCTCTCCAGTATGGATCCTCTGATGTACAATATAGTCAGAACTACAGCTAAATGCTTTCTCACATTCCATACATTTGAAAGGCTTCTCCCCAGTGTGTATTCTCTGATGCCTAGTTAGTTTGGCATTGATACTGAAGGCTTTCCCACATTCCTTACATTGATAAGGTTTTTCTCCAGTATGGATTCGGTGATGATCAAGTAGGTTTCTCTTAGATGTGAAACATTTCCCACACTCATTACATTCAAAGGGTTTCTCCCCAGTATGAATCCTCTGATGCTGCATTAGTTTAGCATTGACATTAAAGGCCTTTCCACACTCATTGCACTCATAGGGCTTCTCTCCAGTGTGGATTCGCAGATGCTGCCGAAGCTGGGAGTTACACCTGAAGGCTTTTCCACATTCATTGCACTTGTAGGGCTTCTCACCTGTGTGGATTCTCTGGTGCTGGATTAATTTCCCTTTGATACTAAAGGCTTTTCCACATTCAGTACACTTGTAGGGCTTCTCACCTGTGTGGGTTCTCTGATGCTGAATTAGTTTTGCATTATTACTGAAGGCTTTCCCACACTCTTTACACTGACAGGGCTTCTCTCCGGTATGGATGCTCTGATGCTGCCTAAGCTGGGAACTGCACCTGAAGCCTTTCCCACACTCATTACATTCATAAGGTTTCTCTCCAGTGTGGATTCTCTGGTGTTGAATTAATTTTGCATTAACATTGAAAGCTTTCCCACAATCATTACACTCATAAGGTTTCTCTCCAGTATGAATTCTCTGATGTGTGATATATGCAGAACTGCAGCTGAAGCCATTTCCACACTCCTTGCAGTGATAGGGTTTCTCTCCTGTATGGATTCTCTGATGCCTGCTTAGACTCCCATTAACACTGAAGGCTTTCCCACACACCTGACACTGATAGGGCTTCTCCCCACTGTGGACTGTCTGATGTGTGATGTAATGGGAACTGTAACTGAAGCTTTTCCCACACTCCACACATTTGAATGGTTTCTCCCCACTATGAAGTCTTTGATGCCAAATTAATTTTGCCTTAATGCTAAAGGCTTTGCTACACTCCTTACACTGGTAGGGCTTCTCTCCAGTGTAGCTATCTTGATGATGATTAAATTGAGAGTTATACTTAAAGTTTTCTACTAATCCTTCACAGTCAAAAGGTCTTTCCCTAGAATTACTTATTTCATGATAAGTAAGTTTTGTGTCAAAGTTCAAGGCTTTCTTCAGTCCCATACACTTAGGGGGTTCTTCTCCAGTGGAGATGATGGTATGACACTGGTTCAAGTTTGGACTCTGACTAAACAAACACTTCTCCATGGGGTCTGTGTTGTCTTTCACTGTTCCATCAGTAACACTGCTGTTTTCTTTCTTCATACTTCCTACTAGATGGACTTCCTGCTGTTGTTTTTCTACAATATAGGCTTCTGAGAAGTCTGTTTCCTGAGAAAAGTTCCCCTGGAGTACAAATGATGTATTATATTTTTCTTTGTACAGTTCCTTTGTTATATCATTGTCAGTCTGGATATCAGTATCTACTATAAAAGAAACAGAAAACATAAAATGTCATGTAAGAACCATGTTAGAAAAAAAGAACTGTGCTAGAAAGAATAAAGGATCACAATAATCAAGGGGGGTCTTTAAAATTTAGGGCAAAGAATCTAAGGTTCATCCATGAGGTAAAATAATACGTAGCTGGCAAGAAAATGAAATAAATCCATATATGCTGACAGGAAAAGATGCCCAGAGTATACAGTTAAATGGGAAAATAAGTTGAGAAATGGTATGTAGAGTAGATTCCATTTGTGTAAAAGAAAATTAAAAGGACTGACACAGGCATATATATTTGTATGTGCCTAGAAAACTTCTGGAAGAAGACACATGAAATTGAGCAAACTGACATTGAAAGCTTGGTAGGTCCCCCCACCCCCACCCCTACCCCCACCACACACGTTATATACTTTGTGCTATTTTGAGCATGTGCCAATATTATAAATGTGAAAATAATGATTTTTAAAGATTACCTGTCTCTAAAACAATGACCACCAACATGACAGTTGAAAGAGACAGCAGTGGAACAAAAGTCTAGGTCTTATCCAGCAAATGAGCATACTTTCCGTCACACCATACTTTACTACACTCTGCAGTTTCTCCTCAGGCCCCCCTATGTCATTGAGTCCTTTGTTAATAAAAATGGAAATAACTTAAGAAGGAAAAGGCACAGGATCCAACATGTGGCAATACTTGGGATGGCAAGTGTTGGCAATGCCAAGAAGCAAAAAGGAAAGAAGTTTAAGTTCTTTCCTTAGAACTTAAAACTCTAGGCTTCCCCAAATTCCTCCTCCAACTTCTTTTTTCTCTGCTTCAGAAAGGCTCTGTTTAGGTCCACTATTGATCCCTTTAATCCCATTCTTTCCCATCCCCTCCAGAATACTGCTGCATTCTCCTTGCCTTTCTTTTTACTTCTTTACTCAATCCCAAAATTGGTCATTGCATAAAATTCTTTCCATAAATTCTTTCATCTTCCTATAATCCCTATAGTCCCAACAGAGCTACATTTGATTTTGCATTTGTTCCCAAATTTCTCAAAAGTGGGCCCAAAATACTCTGTATTCTTTATCTCTCATCTCTCCTCAACCACATGTAATATGCCCCCTGCCTCAGTATGTTACTAAAATTGCCCTCAGTAAACCCAAATGACCTGAATCTCCCTAACAAATTTTTTCAAAATACTATTGATTTCTCCCCATTATAAAAGTAATATTCATCTGTAGCATCATAAACTTACCAAAAAAATTCAAATGACCTGAAATACAACCCTAACAATAACTACTGCTGATCTTCTGAGGTATCTCTTCCCCAATCATTTCCCTTCCAATCATTTTTCTCAATACATTTTTTCAAAAATGAAGTTTTTCTTCACATTAATAATGGTAACTTTCCAATGTCTTTAGATAGTCTGTAAAATATTTTTTAATTGCTAAATAGCACTCCCTCTTGCACAGGTACCTTATTTTTTCTCAGTTTCATTGAGAAATAATTGACATAATCACTGTATAAGTTTAAGGCACGCTGCATGGTGGTTTGATTTATATATATAGTGAAATGATTACCACAATGAGTTTAGCTAACCTCCATCTTCTCGTACAGATAAAATAAAACAATAAAGGAACCCTGGCTGGTGTGGCTCAATGGAATGAGTACAAGCTGAAGGGTCACCAGTTTGATTCCCTGGTCAGGGCGCATGCCTGGGTTGCTGCCCAGGTCCCCAGCTGGGTGCATTCAAGAGGCAACTGATCAATGTATCTCTTGTACATTCTGTTCCTCTCCCTCTCTTTCTCCCTCCCTTCCCCCCTCTCTAAAATTAAATAAAATCTTTTTTTAAAAAAAGGGAAAAAACATTTTCCTTGTGATGAGAACTACCATCACAAGGATTTACTTTCCCAGGATTTTCTCTCTTAACAACTTTATTATATATCATATAGCAATGGTAGGCAGTCATCATGTTGTACATTGCATCCCTAATACTTATAACTAGAAGTTTGTATCTTTTGAGAGGTACCCTAATTTAGCCATTCTCTCTATGTGAAAATTCAGGTTATTCCCATTACTTCATTACATAAAATTATAATGAAATTTCATGCACATGCATCTTTGTCTATATCTTGATTAGTTTATTAGGATATAGCCCTAAAAGGGACTATCCAGTTTATCAAGTACAAATGTTTAAGGGGCTCTTGGTATGTATTGCTAAAGTACTCTCTAAAAAAACTACCAACTCACATTCTCCTCCAGAAGTCTACTCCTGTTTTGCTGTACTCTCACCATCACTTACTATAATTTAGTTGTTTTCACTATAAAGATGAAACATCTCATTTTAATTTGTATTTCACTGATTTCTACTGAGGGTGAACATTTTTTACATTGATTAAAATATGTGCTTCTTATGTGGATGAACCACTTACATTCTCTGCCAATTTTCTACAACAGTGACCTATTCACCAAATCCTGTTGTGTGGCACGCGTTACTGATTACTGGTTGATCATATATCTGCTCTCCCTTTCTTCCTCGCTAGCACCTCTTCCATTTTTTAATGATGTAGCAATAAAAATTACAGCTAAAAACTGTATTTTCCACCCTCTTTTGCAGTGTAGATGGCCATTTCCTCATTCCAACAAATAAGATTTAAACAGAAATCACTAGATGGGGCTTCTGAAAAAGTGTTTGTTTTTTTTAAAGAAAGTCAACTCTGCTGACATGGGCCCTGCACCCCACACCTTCCCATTCTTCCTGCTCAAAACCCATTGAGTTGTCACCCCAATAAAGCTACACACACTAACTAGACCAATGTTTCTATCTTCAGCTAAGATCATGATGGGCTATTCAAAAACTTCAGGACTATCTGCTGCCTACAGAATGAAATCCAGACTCTTTTGATTAAGGATCTCCACAATATCATCTTTTTTTTTCCCTCTGTATGCCAACCATTTCAAATTCTCCATGTCCAAAACATGTCTTTGTTGGTCAGGGACCATCTAGCTGAATGACAGGAACAAAAATCCCTCAAACCATCTTTTTAATTTTTTTAATATTTATTTATTTTTAGAGAGGGAGAGAAACATCAGCGTGTGGTTCCTTCTCATGCACCCTGTTCTGGGGACCTGACCTGCAACCCAGGCATATGCCCTAACTGGGAATCAAACCTGCGATCCTCTGGTTCACAGGCTGGCACTCAGTCCACTGAGCCACACCAGCCAGGGATGAAACCATCTTTTAAAAGAGGAGGATTTGCTGAAGGGTGTAAGAGAATCTTATAAACCCCAAAAGCAGGAAGTAAAGGCCACGTGGGAAACAGGAAGTCATCTGGTAGCTACTCTGCTTGAGCCAACGAGAACCTCACTACGTCAAGTGTGGTGTGGGAACCGGAAGCATTAGCATCACCTGGAAACTTATCAGAAATGCAGACTCTTAGCCGTACACCAAATCACTGAATAACAATCTGCATATTTGTAAGACTCCCAGGTAATTCATTTGCACATGGTTTGAGAAGCACTGAATTGAGGGCACCCCCTCCCTTCTGCCTTATTCCCTACAGCTTACTATGGAAAGCTGTCTCCTCCAAAACACCAAAAATAATAAAAACTAATATATCATCAAGCACACACTATAAACCACGCACATGACACACATCTCATTTACCCTCAACCTGTTAAAGACTAGCACTAATAACCTAGTTTTATTATTATTCCACATTCACAGATGAGAACCCTGATTCTCAGACAACTAAGTACCTGACCTGCTCACAGTTAAAAAGTAGCACAGTTGGAAATGAACCTCAGAAAGTCTGCTCCAAAAACCGTACTTTTAACCAGCAGGTTATTATGCCATTTTGTGTAAAAAGACTGTTGATTCTGTATCCTCTGCATTAAACAGACAATGACTAGAGAAAATTAAGAATGCCCACCCAAATTATTTAATCCATTCATTTTTTTCTGAGCAAGGTAGAATTCCAAAATTAGGATTCCAAAGAGTCAGAATGAGGCATATGAAAAATTAGCTGTTTTTAGAATTAGAAAGAAAGAGCAAATTGTGAAAACAGTCAAGAAAGGTCTCAATTGAACCTATCTATAAATCATCAAGATTTATCTAAATTTTACTCTTTACAGCTGGCCAATAAATGTGGCACACTGATATGTTGCTAATATGTTAACTCATGCTTACATGCTAACTCTTTCTTCCTAAAGAGTTAAACTTTCCAGCATAATGGGCAACACGTGCCTCCCTTACCTGTCCAGAGGCCTGGAGGGTCTGAGCCTACTCCAGTGGCCAGCAGAGATGGGGTCCCCACCTCACCTCCTCCTTCTAGTTGTGAGATCACAGCAGGTTTGAGAAGTGGAAATCCTGTTTTGGGGGCAAGGAAATAGGAGGAAAGAAAGGTGAATTATCTCCCATGGATGAGCTCCTCGGCCTCTTCTCAGACTGTCTCTGCAATGGAGAGGGAAGGTAAGAGCCCCAGGGTGTTCATGCCTAAGGCCTGCTGGTGGTGGAAGGGAGGGGTTCTTATAAGGTGTACTGGGGGAGGAGGTGGTCTTGAGGAACGGCCCAGACTATGGGCCCAAGAGACTTCATGCAGAATAAATGGAGAATCTGTGCAAAGGAATGCCATTTTTTGAGCTTGGCCTGAGATAGTCAGAGTACACTGACATCCTTGGGAAGATCTAAGATGCAGGCAGGGTGAGGGGGAACCTAAACATAACACTGTGAAACAGGAAGTTACTTTTTCCACACTGAGTCCAACACATAAAAAAATGCATACTAGTCCCAGCAAAGTCCTACATTGACTGCAAAAAGGGCTTGGGGTTTGCTCTTCCCAGCAAACCCTGGGTCTAGGGGATTAGCAACTCAGGCTCTGGGGTTCCCACTCAGTAAAGGATTACTGGAAACCCAGTAATCCTTTCCCTATAACACGTAAGGGAAAAAGAAATCAGGAAACCCCAAGAGCCAGAATCTGGGTCCAGGGGAAGAAGCCTTACCCAGGGAGGCCACATTCCCATAGTTCTCCAGCATCACATCCCTGTACAGGGCCCTCTGTGCAGGGGACAGGCCATCCCACTCCGCTGGGGTGAAGTACACAGCCACATCCTCAAAGGTCACCAACTTCTGAAACAACAGGTTCCTGCTGCCCTAGGGCCAATTCCATGGCTCAGGCCCTAAGTGAGGGGCAGAGGGCAGTATAAGGGATTGGGGAGGGAGCTTGTGAAGAGCATGAAATTAATAACAAGGTGAAAAATTTGAGAAAAACACCGGAAAGTACACTAGGGAATATCTGACTTCTCTCACGGCAAAAAAACCTCATGTCATTTTTATACTTATAAAAAATACAGTAGCATAACCATTCCCTCACTGGTGAATACAGCTCAGGGCTGAACTGAGCATTCCTACTTCATCTGAGATCTTGGCTTTTTCATTCTAATGTCAGCCCTCACCCGCAAACCTGAGCCACCCCCAAGGAACAGCCATGGCTTCCAACTCATCCGGCCCCTTCTGCAGCCTGATTCCTGTCACCAACTTTCTCATCATCAGCCTCTGCTTCAGAACCTCCAGTGAAGGAAGCTCAGTGCTGCCTGGATCGGCTTGGAGACCAAGGGTCAAGGGGAGGAGGCAGCAGCCCATTCTGCTTCCAGACAGGTCTTGGTAAAGACCTAATATTTTCTGTTATCCTCTCCCATTCAAGCCCCATCCTTTCCAACTTCACCAAGAATTCCGTTTCTCCTCTGGCTGCTCTCTGCCCCACTCAGCCTTCTCTAACGACCTTGGGGACACACTGGCAGGGACTTGCCCTCAACTCCTCTCGGCCAGGATCTGTTTTGCTCAACTCTACCAATCTCTACCCAGCAACAAATCTAGTCCAACTTCTGGGTTTTCCTATAAGTCTTTCACTGTGTGACCAGGGACAGGTCAAACAACTTCTCTGAACAAAATCAGATGCCTTCGCTGTCCACTGCCACCACCCTCTACCCCAGTAAATGAATTCACAACGTACCTGGTGCCATCCATCACTATCTGCAGGAGTCCTCAGCTAGAACCCTGGGGAGTCATTCTGATCTCCTCCCTCTCCCCCACCCCTATCTCCTAACTCTGACTCCAGGTCCTAGAGACTTGTATCTGCAGGATTACTCAAATAACATACCCAGTCTTTAACAAGTGCTTCCCTTGAGGAAGCCCACATTGCCTGGAACAGTGGAATCCTTTCTGAAGTTATCACCCTGGGTTTGAATATCCCTGCAAGTCATTCCCTACACAGCTATCACATATCTGACAAAATTAACATCACTGGTTCCATATGTATCATAAGGCTGGGCCGTTAACAATCACACAGTGGGCCCTAGCTAGGTAGCACAGTTGGTTAGTGTGTCATCCAGATATGCCAAGGTTGTGGGTTCAATCCCTGGACAGGGCACCTAGAACACTCAACCAATGAATGCATAAAGAAGTGGAACAACAAATCGATGTTTCTCTCTCTCTCAAATCAAAAAAATTTAAGATTCACACAACTGCGGTGTGACCTTAGGCAAGTCACTCTATCTCCCTCTGCCTCTGTGTCTTTGTGGTGTAATGAGCCCGACGTAGCACCTATGTCAGAGGGCAGGAGTCAAGATTGAGTGATCCACGCAAAGCACTTAGTATGGAGCCTGCGGCATAGGAAGCCTCAGCTAATGTTACTGGAGTCACTGTGACTATGATTATGCCCAACCTGCCATCCATGGAGTTCCATGGATGAGCTTTAGGAAGTCCATAAAGTCCCTGAAATTGTATGAAAAATTTGGTTCACATGAATATTTTTCTGGGGTAGAGGGTCCAGAGCCCTTATCGAAGACCTAAAGTATGAGTCAGTGCACACCTAGCCCTCTCAGGACACAATGGGACCTCATGTGCCACTGGACTTCCAGTTTTTAGCTCACTTGACCCTAATCCCTTCATCTTCCCCTGAATTAGAAGCACAGCTATCCTTCACAGTGACCTGGCTCCTCTTCACCTACACCCCAGTCCCTGGGAATCCCAGTCCTCTGCTGTTTCCTCCATTCACAGCCATACATGGAGCATCCTACGTGGTCAGTATCTACATCTCCTATTCCCTAGAGCCCTCTGCTGGGGGAGCCCTTCTACCAGAGGAAAAGGAACCTCACTGCATCCAAGACTACACCCCTGCTTTTGTGCACACTCTCCTGCTCTTTCCATCCCTTCGATTGCCACTCCACAAGTTCCAGTCTGGCAGACATAAGCATGGAGGCCCTCTCCAGCTTCCCTTCTCAGTTTCTTCTATTTAAAACTGCCCAGAGGAAGACCTGAAGAACCCACAGCTCACCTGGGGCCAGGCTGTCAGGAGCACGGCTGCCATTGCTTGGTCTCCCTCTCAGAGAAGGGCTGGAGCTAAGAGAAACACAGAGAGAGGCAGGCCTGAGGCAAGCCACCCCAATCAGGAACGGAAGACCTAAGACGCAGGCAGCCTGTGTCCAGATAGGAGTGTGAACAGCAGGGGTCACAGGATGAAGAAGGTGATCTGTTCACTTGCTCAGTACCCAGGACTCTTCCCAGCCATGACCCTGATGCTCACTACCAGGAACCCTAAGATTTTACAGTTCTGACATGTATCATACACACAAAAGTATACCATAAAAATGTATGCAGACTCTGGCTGGTGTAGCTCAGTGGATTGAGCACGGGCCTGTGAACCGGAGGATCGCGGTTCAATTCCCAGTCAGGGCACATGCCTGGGTTGCAAGCCAGTTCCCTGCAGGCCAGTTCCAAGCAGGGGACGCACTAGAGGCAACCACACATTGAAGTTTCTCTCCCTCTCTCCTCCTCTTAAAAGATAAATAAATAAATAATTTTTTTAAAAAAATGTATGCAGAGCCCAAAGAATACTAAAACAAATACTCGTGTGTCAGTGATTCAAGAAACAGAACGTTACCAAGATCTTTATTTCTCTTTCTCTACACAACCATCATCCTCGATTACATGGCAAGAGAAGACAGGCTGGAGGGACTGCAGCCCCAGCAGAGGCCTCAGTCAGGTCCAGGGAGGCGGCATCTGCAAAGGAACAGCTGCTCCCCCACATCCTGCCTGTTTCCTTATACAGCGCAGTGTCCTCAAGAGTCCTAATGTCTCTGTGGAGGCCTTGCAAGGTCAGCCTTCCTCGTGGCCCAGACTTACCTTGAGGAAGCTGGGCCAGAAGTGAAGTGCCAGGCTGCATCTTCGTACTTTCCAGCCTTCTGAGAGTGAAGAAGCCAAGACCTCAGCTTCCTGAGAGAGAGGCTCACTATGGGATCTAGGCCCCATGACCCTGAGCCTCTTGTTCGTGATGTTCCTAACACATGGGCTAGTTAAGTTTCTGATTTTCAAGATTTTCATTGATTCTAAAATCAGTCTTGAAATTTATACTCTCCTAAAATCTCATCTATATCTTCCAGGATTTCAACTTGAGTGCAGTTGCAGAAAACACTGGTTTATGATTCTTTTTGTTTCCTTCATATTTAGAGCTACTTTGCTTTTCCCACTTCTTCTTTTGAATATATGTGCTTTCAGACGTTTTCCTTGGTCAGTGTTATGGATTGAATGTATGCCCCCTCCCCAAATTAATACGCTAAAACTCTAACCCCCACTGTGACTATATTTAGAGATAAGACTGTCAAGGAGGTAATAGGGTTAAATAAGGTCATAAGGGTAGGGCCCTAATCTGATAGGTCATTGCCACATGAGCACACAGTGAGAAGGCAGCCATCTGAAACCTAAGGAGAGCTGTCTCAGCCAGCACCTTCATCTGGGACTCCGCCCTCCGGAGCTATAAGGTGCGTTTCTGTTGTCAAAGCCGCATAGTCGATAGCAGTTTGTTGCGGCATCCCAGACAGACTAATAGAGTGAGGCTGAGCAGTGGTTTATCTATTTTAATGTCATTTCATCTTCAGTGAACCAGCTTTTTTATTTATTTAGAACGCTGCTCTTTTTTGTAGTTGTTTTTAATTCACTACGTTCTACTTTCTCAGTCTGTTTCTTTAGCTCTGTAAGAGATAGCTTATGCACCACTCCATTCCTTTCGTCTCACTTAGTCCAGTTCCAAAAGCTCAGATCAGCTTTGTGCAGGTGCAAGCTACCAATGCCTCTGTAAAAATCTACACCACAGATGCCTGACTCCTGCCCTGGGGCTTTTCTGGTGTCCTGTATAAAACACTGCAGAAACCTGTAGACACTTGCTGATACCTGAAGTTCAGGAGAGTTCATGTCTACGGAGCCACCCTCGAATAGGGGACAGTGACCAACGGATAAATGTTTTCCCCATTAGCCTCCCACATGAGATTCCAAATCTGCAAGACAAAGCACTAGTCAGATGCAGAAGGACCAAACTGACAAAGCGCCCCTGTACGGCTCTCCTTCCTTCTCTGTCACTCCCCTTGTCTTCCACTCTGCCCAGGACTACACTTCCAAATAAATTACCTGCACACAAATCTTTGTCGTGTTCTGCTTTTAGGGGAAACTAGACTACAAAAGCCTCTTTTCTAACTTCTTGAGGTTGCATGATTTATTCATTTATTCTCATACTTTTCTACTTGGCAGCTAAAACCATAAGGCCATATATTTTCCTCTAAATACACTAAAATTAGCCACATTCCAGAGGTTTTACGTCATGTTTTAATTACTATCTTATAGCTAGTTAGCAACTGTGTTTTTCTCTGACCAAAGAATTGTTTATGATAGTATGCTGTAAATTTCTTCTCTATTTGTAATTTCTGGCTTTACTGCATGCTGTTTAAATAGCCTAATATATTTACTCCTGCTTTAAAGATGTTTGAGGCTTTTTGTTTTTTTAATAGCTGAAGTGGCCACCTAAAAAGTCTATAGATGCTTAAAAAGAAAACTTATTCTATGTTGAAAGATCGTATAATTCTATATGAATTTAATGAACCAACTCTACAGATTTTATTACACAGATTTTTCTCTGTATCCTATGATTACTTTTACTTAAACTGAGATAGCCAGTAAAGAATGAACTTTTGCAAAACACTAAGCCCATATGTATCATGGGCAAATCTTTTCAAATCTTGAAAAAAATGAGTAATTCTAACACTATGTAAACTGTAGCAGAGAAGAGCCAAAAAAGTTTTCCAGTCTTTTGATCATGCCAATGTTACATAGGACAAGGGTATCAAAGGTCTGGGCAGTTCTTACTAAATGCTATTCTTGTTAAATGTTAAAATGCAGCACAGCATTTTGCAGATGCAGCTGTAGCCACTTGAGTTTGTCCACCCAGGATGCACTTGACCACCCAATCCAAGAGTTTAGTCAACTGTAGGAAGGGAGAAAGGAAGGGGGGGAGAGAGGGAGGAAGAAAGGAAGGAACAAATCAACATACAGTTAACAAAATCCGGACAAATTTCGCCAACTGCAAAAGAAGAAATCAACATGTAATTGACCAAATAGTGTACATAAGCAATGGCTAGGCCTCTCTTCCAGGGAAAGAGCACTGGATGTGAATCTACCTAAGTAGTTTAGTTAGATAAAACTACCTAACAACGACATCTTGTTCTTGAGTAGAACACCCTAACTGGCAAACCTCTTGAGTTTGGTAACACCAGCACAATACAGATATGAAACCACAGAGAAGTCTTATTTACGAGTACTAAGGCAAAAAATCCTAAATAGTAAGAAACAGACTCTTGTAGTCCATTAAAGTGATGAACCATGCATAAGAGGGATCATCTCATGGACACAAGCAACCTTTTGTGTAATGACAACAAAAAAGAAGTACAAGAAAATGTGCCTCTGGTCAATACTAGGATACAAATTAGTACACTTTCTCACATTAATAAATCAAAGCAAGATAAACATACTCTTCATCTAACAGATGCCAAAAGGCATTTGATAAAATTCAACATTCAACCCTGCCCAGTGTGGCTCAGTGGATTGAGTAAACCAAAGGGATGCTGGTTCAATTCCTAGTCAGGATACATGCCTGGGTTGTGGGCCAGGTCCCCAGTAGGGAGTGCACAAGAAGCGACCACACATTGATGTTTCTCTCCCTCTCTTTCTCCCTCCCTTCCCTTCTCTAAAAGTAAATCAATAAAATCTTTAAAAATTTTTCAACATTCATGCCTACATTTAAAAACTTATACCCTAGAGAAACTCTGTATGTACAAGATACATATAGAATTATTCATCATCAGCAGTATTTTAATCGCCAAAAACTGGAAGCAACTCACATACTCACATGTCCATTGAGAATACATAAATAAGTTGTCATATAGTTTTTAACAATGGAATATTATCAAGCAGCAAAAATGAATGACTCAGTGACACAGAACAACACGGATGACTTTAGGAACACAATATTGAGTTACATGAGTCCACATGACTACAGGTACTATGCCATTTTCATAAAGCTCAAAAGCAAACTAAACACATTATTTACATATACATGTATATGTGATGATTATCTTTAAAAACAGGTAAGGCTCTATTAGCACAAAATTCAAAACAGCTGTTACCCCTGGGAGTGGTAAGCTGGGAGCTGGGCTGGGGAGGAGCAGCAGTACTGGTCATGTTCTCCTTCTTAATGGGGTGGTATGTTCCCAGTGCTCATTCTACTATGTAGTCTTAGCTGACATACTACATGCAGTCTTGTGTATATGTGAGTGGCATTTAAAAAAAATACAGTCATCTCTATGATATAATTTCCAGAGTATATTGTTAAATTTAAAAAAAGTAAAGTGCAAAAGGTAGTGTGCTATCTTTTGTTGTGTAATGACAAGAAAAAAGAAGTATAAGAAAATGTGCTCTGGTCATTTATACAAAAAGAAATGCAAGGATAAACCAAAACCTAAGGAAAATGGTTGCACCAAGTGTGGGTGGGACGTGGGAGAAAGGAGCCCTGGAATGGGGACAGGATGGAAGGAAACTGGGTGGAAGAGAGGAAGAGGGGTGACACCTCTCTGAATGTGTCTGACTTTCATAACCATAGTAATGTTTCACATATCCAAACAAATACACACACACACACATATATACAATTAACCAACCAGGAATGAGATGGGGGTAACAACCCAAACAAGGAACCCAAACAAGGAACCAAACAGGAAGTGAGCCTAACTGCCCCAGGATTGAGTAACATAACCACACTGAAGTGGTTCCTTCACCACTTTCTTTAGGAAAGAAAAGAACTAAGTAACTTTGAAAAACAGTATTTTAACTAAATACTGTAAGGCTATAAAGACCTGTGCTCAAATGCTGCCCTCTAGTTAGTGATTGTGGGAAAAAAATGTAATAAACATTGCTAAGAGAGTCACTTAACATAGAGCCCAGAGGCCCTTACGGAAGTAGAGCCTATGCACATTTTGTCCTGTTTTCAGAGCCGCTCTTACTTGGCTAACCCAGTGGCTAAACCAAAAACCAAAACCAAGACCTATTGCTACACTCAGCTCAAGGCAGAGCCATAAACATGCTGGAATCATATACATCTTAGGACTGCTATGTGGACATATACGGACTTTCACTTCCTTCCTTAGTAGTTTTCACCTCCCTCACTTCCATACTGGAATTAACCAAACCCTGTTAACCTAGCCAGTAACCCTTCAATTGCATGAAAGAACTACATTTTGTGGTTTTCGTCTTTATAAACCCTGCCTTTCTTCGTTCTCTCCAGAACTTAGTTTGGGTTGTTACCTGAATCCGCATCTCCTGGATTCGAGTCCTTTAAGACCCCAAATAAACTTTTGTTTTATAGCCTCGGGTCTTTATTGGTCGACACTAGTAAATTTGCCAGACATGAGGATATGAATTAGCAATTCTGGGATGACTGTATGTGTATTCTAGGGCTGAGCAGTCAGTAATTACATGGTGCAAGCATTCCCAGGTCATTGTCATCCCACAGTTCGAGAGTAGGGCCCAGTTACCTTGTGGAACTGACACCACTCCAGAAGACAACAGCTTCCACAAGCCCGTATCTTCTGCTCTCGAGTGGACGGGAGATGCCCTGCCTTTTCAGCTCTTCCACTGGGCCTTGAGTCATGCCCTGTGTCGGGAACCAGAGGGCATACAATCCCAACCTGGTAAAAGCCCCTGCACGACCTCCACAGGTCAAAAGATTAGTGATTATCACCGCAGGCCACTTTCCTCCTACAAATATTCCACCCTCTGGCTGCTACGGCACATCTTCCCCAAAGCCACAGTATCTTTCCCGAGCTACGTATTCAGGGCTTCGCTACCCACGACACAGAACGTTTTCAGCCGCCGAGTTCAAGGCGGCAGTTCAGGAGGGGCCGCCGCCCTGCTCCCTCCTACAGGGGCGGGAGACGCAGTTCCAAACCTGGCGGAAGGGCATTGACTACCCAGAGCCTCCGGGGCGGATTACCGCCCCACTGCCCGACGCCGCACACTCACCACCCCCGCGAGCGGCTCCGCGGCGCAGCCGGAAGCGCTTCTCCGGCGGCGTCCGAGCCTGTCTAGGAGCAGCGTCGTGCCCTCTCGTTGGTGCTCCGGCCCCGCCCCCTGCGCGCAAACCGCTGTGCCCAGAATCCTTTGGTCTCTAGCTTCTTGTGGTGGATCTCGTTCAGATTGCCTTAGTTCTGGAGGGTGGGCTAGGGGAGGCAAGATTCAGAAACTAGAGCTGGATTCAACCCGCGCTGCATTCAACACGGGATGGTGCGGGGAATCTGTATCTTAGTAAAGCTGCGGGTGCAACCAGATTTGAGTCCAAGGACTGGATCAGTGGTTTACATGGTATCAAACCTAAAGCCACCCTTTTTGTAACATATTTCCTAGTGACCACTTTATTATCCTGTCTTGAGAATAATAAATAATACTTAGAATGCCTTAACTGTAATAAAAGAGACGGGAAATAATTTGTAATTTATAGCACATATGTCTGGTGTATCTCTCTGTACCATGCCCCTCCTTTCTTGGAAAATGGATAAAAGCTTTACTCTCTACCCTTTCTTCTCTTTGTGAATTCTTTTACAGCCCACTTCACTGACCACCCTAACATTTTGGTGGCCAGTAGGGGGACATTCTCTATTTCTTCCTCTCCTCTGCCCCGAGACTTGCAAATAGTGGAGCAGCGGGCAGCGGAAGCGGGAGCAGGTCTAACCCCCTAACCCTGTCTCCCTGAGGTTCTGAGAGAGGATTCTAAACCTCCTCTCCATTTCTCCAGACTCCGGGGACAGCCTCCTCACCCACATTCACCACCAGCAACAGGAGCTGGAGAAACAGTATAAAAACGCCAGCAATATCCCTGTTTTTCACTGTGGTGCTTGCATTCTAGTGAAGGAAGGTCAGGCTGGTGAAGAAGTTCAATGTGGGTGGAGATGATCTGTCACTGGAGATACAGAAATGTCACCCTTGTGAGATTGTAAGTTTTTTTTTAGGATGAATACAATGTCTCTTTTGGTCACACTGCATCCCCGGCACTCCAGCATGATAGGTCCTCAATAAAGCCTAGATTAATAAATGGGAAAAAAACCACATATTTCAATATGTAAATGTTTGGTCATGACTACTGCAGTAGGGGACAGAGGAAGTGGTCAGATATTTTCCTTTCCACTTGGAAGGTGCCTGAATGCCACAGCCGCAATGCTGTGTCTTATGTTGCTGTTTCAAAAATCACAAGGTGGGGTTCAAAATGGTAAACCCTTTTCGTTAAAGTTTAAATGAAACACAGTACAATCTTGTCTTGATCATATTCCTGGAGAATCAGCATGTTCTGCACACTGTGCAAAAGCACACTGTTTATCAGAAAAACAGGCTCCAGAGTCAGGGACTTTACGAGCAGTTTATACCCATGTGAATGTCCAAGAAGATGGGAATGTCTGTGGAAACTGTTCAATAGGAGGGAACATCCTGGACATCGCAGGATTGCTGGCACTCCCGGTTTCCATCCAATACCACCAAACACTGTAACAAAAAAATACTCCCACAAAATCCTAAAATGAGCCCTTGGGGATGTGAATGGCACTACAAGCCACTGGACTGGACCACCATTAGGGTCCTCCCCAACCCTGACAGCGCTGGCCTTTCATTCCAGCTCTGATCCCTCCCTGCACTGGAAGGTGGTTGGAGGGGCCCACAATCACCTCTCCAGCCTCTCAGCACTCCCATTCTCCCCCTCTCTCAACGCCACCCCTCTTGCTGAACAGGCCATTTTCTAAGCCTGCAATGCCCTTCCTTTCCATTCCCACCCTCTGTGTTGACTGTTATGTAGTCTCAGTTCAAATCCCATTTCCCTTGGAAAGCAAGCTTCCCTGACCCAGTTGAAGGGAGGTCTGCCAGTTACAAGGCATCACAGCACTCCATATGTCTCAAGTGCTTACACATTTGTGCTTATTTAATAGTGACAATTCATTTAACTCTGTCTTCTCTGGTCACTGCAGGGAGCAGGGACTATATCTATTGTATCTTGTTCAACTCCACTATCCTCAGCTAAAGCACAAGACCCGGCACAAAGAAGGTATGTAACAAATATTTGTTGTTGACATAATGCAAAGACTCCAGCTCCCACTCCAGGGTAGAACCCTTCCTTATTTCTGTGTCACTGGAGTTAGGGTATGTCTTCTGCCTGGGATCACTGGCCATTGCCAGGAGGTTTGCCCTGATCTTGATCATCCCTGTTTCCCAGAATGAGCAATTTGCGTGGCTTCTCTCATTCAGATAGGAAAGTGGTCCCACAACTGGGCAGAGTGACTGCTGGGGGCGACACTGCTCTTGGCAATAAGTGCTGTGTCCACTTCCTAGGCTCAGAAAGCAGAACTTTAGCTAGGAATAAACGATTGTCTAAGGAAGAAATTAGCACATCAGTGTCACAGAAATGCTGGCCCCAAATGTTAGATCACAAACCAGTCACCTAATTTTATAGCTAAGAAAATAAGGCCTCCTGTATAACCAGGAAGCTCCAACTCCTGAGACAGGCACAGGCTGGGGTACAGAGTTCTACAGAAGCAGAGACCACGCGTTGCCTGTCCACCTCTGCTCTTCCCTTCTTACATGGTAGCACAATCTCTAGCAAGACCATCTCTAGATGGTCCAGAAAAATAATATGCTTCCTGGCCCCCTTTAAATAAAAGTTATGCCATGCCTTTAAAGAGAAGGGACATACCCTCCCTGGACCAGTACCCCAACCCCATCAACTATGTGGAATGCCATCAAGGAGGTGAGCATCTTGGACCATGTGGATGAAGATGAGGCCCTTGGAGATGACACAGCAGCTAGGAGTGGTCATGGAGCTGCTGTCTCTGCCCTAGACGGCTTACCCTCAGATGATACACAAGTAAGAAATAAGCTTTCACTGTACCTAAACCACATTGATTTGGGCCCGCTGAATCAATAACCAAGACCACATCCTACTACCTATAAGACTGAGATGATGGAAAAGCACACAACACACTTCAAAACTTAGGCTGGTTCTCATACATCAGTGGTCTGGAAATTCACCTTTATACTGGGCCAGCAGCCACATTTCCTCCCACCACTGGGTAAGGCTTCTTCTGCACCCTCTGCCCCACCATTCCAGGGCCTCCCTGCCCACCAGGGAAAACGGACAAATCTCCTCACATTAAAAAGATTTTTTTTGGTGTTCCCAGTATTAAGATGACAGAGTAAAAATTGTTCTGCCTGCTTCTCCTCTTGAAAATTGTGGGAAAATAATAAAAGCCTGGCTAGGTTTCATTCCAGGAGTCTAAGGATGTTTCAATATTATAAAATATCCCTTTTTATTGATATTGTGAATTAAATAAACCAAGCACTCAACCTACTATGTGGAGAAATATACTAGGGCAGGGAGGGATCTTATTCACAAAAACAACAAAGCAACCAAAAATATTTAGGAATAAGCTTGATAATAAATGTTTAAGGCACAGATGAAGAAAAATTTAAATATTTAGGGGGTAAGCCAAGAAAAAACCCTTGTATAAATGGGAAGGCACAGGTAACTTTTTAATAGGAAGGGTATTCATCTTGATTAAACCTGCGAATCCAATTTCGAACCATTTTGAAAAAGAAATAAAGAAATTAAACATTGAGTCAATAAGTTGGAGACTATTCTGTTTCAACCTATGTTTCCTTCACTGTTGCCTATTCCCACCAGCATCCCTTTCTGTGAAGTCAGGCACTGCCTCCCCTTGACTTGACCCTGATACTCTCTTCTGCTCCAAAGGAGATAATCCATCTCCTCAAACAACCCCATTCTTCTGTTATTGAGACACAACTGTCTCAGGGACCTCCAATCTCTACAAGGCAATACTGGGATGGCCAGAACATGGTCCCTGAAGCCACAGAGCCTGTTGGAGTCCCTACTGTCCCACTTCCAGTGTCCTTGGATGACCTAATTAATCCATCCCCTCAGCTGTAACGATGAGCTCATTGCAACACCTAATTCGTAAAGTTGTATTAAGTTAGGAAAGTATCCGACATATAGCAAGTGCCAAAAAAACAGTACGACTGTGACAGCCATTCATTAAAGGACAGCTATAGCTGATGCAGTGACACGTGAAACCAAGCCCCTGACCCTGTTTACTCTAACCCATTGTCTTTTTCCTGAGTGACTTTTAAATTTCCTGGTCTCAAAATGATCGCCCTAGAAGTAACCCAAATGCCTACTGCCAGTAGGCAGTAAATTATGGTATATTCAGGCAATGGAACACCATGCAGCAATGCAAACTAACCTATACTTCTGACCCATTTATGTAAAAGTTCACGGTGGCAGAAGTCAGAATACAGGTCACCAGGACAAAGAAGTATCAACCAAAACAGGATACAGAGAAATGAACAGGGCGCTGGGAGGTTGTTTCCTGATCTTCGTGATTATAAGGCTTTTTTTTTAATTCAAGTCATACGACTGTGACTTGTGCATTTTTCTGTCTATTATACTTCATTTTAAAAAATACTTATTTAAAAAGTGGTCCCCCAGCCCATTTATTCATGGTCAGTCCAAGCACGTGATACAACGGCTCACCCAACTGCTGACTAGTAAGGAAGAGGTGGTGAAGCCACGCAGGCAGGTCTAGTGTAGAATTGGGTAGGGTGACTGCCATTGTGGTTGGCGGCACAAGGGCACGTGGGAGAAAAGAGGGTGCAGATTACATCCATCATCCAAAGGGAAGGGCCAGCTCTTTGTTTTCCTACTGCAGCACCTGGGCACTCTTAGGGACCAAGAGTATTTCCTTGGTCCACTAACCAGATGAAAGGGTAGGGCAGGCGTGCTATTCTAGACAAACTGGTAAACACCCAGATGGAAAAGCTACAACACCCTGGCATTTACCAGTTTAATGTCCAGGACAGTATCCATTCTTACAAAAACCTGAGTATACAAAGTGAAAGTTTTAGTGGTAGCTTTTGGTTATATAGTTCACTTCTCTTGAGAATGGATTGACCGACAGCTTTGTAGTTCGGCCCTAAAACCTCGGTCACAGAGCTTCAGCTGTTAAAACTTCTATCCGCTGGTGTTCCAACACGGCCCCGGCTGCTGTGTGTTCCAACGGGTTTCCCACTGTTACAATCGGGGTGGCTGCTGGGACTGTGCTGAAGACTTTCCCACACGTCACACCCACAAAACTTTTCTCCTCCATCAGGTTGGCTATCCCTGGAGATTATTAAATTAAAACAATTATTAAAAATAACTGTTATTCTGATAAGGCTCTCTGTTGCAGGAAAAGAAAACTTAATTCAAAAAACAAAACCAAATAAAGCAAAAACGAAAACAGAATTTACTGGTTACTGGGACTTAAAAACCCAGATGTATTTCTAGCTTCGGTTATGGCGCAATGCAATTGTTCCAACAGAGCTGTCAAGGGAGATTACTCTGCAACTCTGATTTCGTTCCTGCTGTGTCCACTCCATTCTCAGCTCCCACAGGAATCCAGGAATTCTTCTCAGCTTTAAGACCAAAGAGAAGAGCATTTCTTCCTGTTAACTCTGGCCACACACCCTGGAACTCTAATCGGACCGTCTTGGGTCACCTACTGACATCTGAACCGATGACCAGGGCTTGGAAGAAGCCGGGCCTGTGTCGCACACTCTGCTCCCGAGAAGATGAAATCCAAAGGGAAATTTAATATACTACTACCACGCAAAGGGGGTAAAAAACTCTGGGAGGCCAAAATGACAAATGTCCAGCTCCAGTTTCTGTCCAGGGTGGGCATGCTCATGATCGCCCAGCCAGGAAGAAGTCCGAAAGGGTTTTTCATACTTGACACGGTCATAGCGTTTCTCTGTGGTATGGACTCTTTGATGCTGCAGAAGATTTCTTTTGCTAGTCAAGACTTTTCCACACTTACCGCATACACAGGAAGACTCTTGAGTATGGACCCTTAGATCCCTTTTTAACTGGTCCTGAGCACTGAAGGCTTTCCCACAATCTGCACAGTCAAAGGGTTTCTTCTCACTGTGAACTCTCTGGTGCCGAGTTAGTTTTTCATGCAAATTAAAGGCTTTTCCACACATTTTACAAGAATGAGGCTTTTCCCCCATGTGAATAAGCTGATGTTTGCTAAGACAGGAAGTCCTTCCAAAGCTTTTGCCACACTCATTACATGCATAAGGTTTCTCCCCAATGTGGATTCTCTGGTGTCCAACAAACTCAGAACTACCGGTGACGACTTTTCCACACTCCTGGCAGTGACGGGGCCTGTCCCCACTGTGGATTCTCTGAAGGCTGATCAGACTGCCATAATCACTTAAGGCTCTCTTCCCCCATTCTTGCTCACACTCACAGGGTTCCTCTCCACTGTGGATCCTCCTCTGATGCTGACTTACCGTTGACTTAACAGCAAAAGCTTTCCCACATTCATCGCACTTGTAAGGTTTCTCCCCAGTGTGGATTCTCTGGTGTCGAACATCGTGAGAAGAACAGCTGAAACCCCCACACACACCTCACATCAGAAGGGTTTCCGATCACCATGGATTCTTGGAGCGTTTCTTGTAGTATTTTTCACTGTGGAAATTTCCCAATGCTTTTCCAGTTTATGTGTTTCTAGGAAGCTGGTTCTTGGAAGAGCATTCTTCTGCAGACCCCAAGATACCACAACGTCTCTGTTTTCAGAAATTCCCTGCATTGATGTGGACTCATTGTCGGCACTGATCTCAGTATCTGACGTGACAAACAGAAAACATAAGTGCCACCTGAGAATTACAGTAGAAACAAAAGAGCATCAAATATTGTAGGATTTTCACAGACTATTTTCTCAACCCCCACACAGGCCTGACAGCAAGAAAAGTGCCTAATGTCACACAGGCAGAGAATTGTTGAGGTGGGACAAGGTACCAGCGTGCACATGACACGTCAGATTGCTTCCTAAGCTCTTCCAGACTCTATATCTGAATGACTTCTCCATAGCATGTTTTCATATTTTCTGACCTTATGATACTCATAGGCCTACAAAATATCAAAGAAGGTACAGGCTCTAAGAGGAAGCAGTGACACTGAGGCAGGCAAAACAGAGTCAAAAAGTAAAACTGAAGAGTCACCAGAATGCAAAGGTAATAAATGAATTGTTTTTTAAAAAAGATTTTATTTATCTTTTGAGAGGAGAGGGGAAGTATAAAGAGAGGAAGAGAAACATCAGTGTGTGGTTGCCCCTCTTGCATCCCCCACCCGGGGGCCTGGCCCGAAACCCAGGCATGTGCCCTAGACTGGGGATTGAACTGGCGACCCCTCAGTTTGCAGGCTGGCGCTCAATCCACTGAGCCACATCAGCCAAGGCATATTATTGTTCTTTTAAAAAATTCATACCCTGCAGAAGTCCCCACAGACTGGAGACACTGAACATTAAGGGCACTAGGCTGTGGCAAGACAAAAAAAATCACAGAAGCCCTTAGGGGAGATCACCGCTGGTACTCCACAGATGACAAGTGAACACGCTCAAACTGCTGGCAACTGCTGTCTTGTTATGAGACTCTCAAAAACGTCTGAACCTCAAATATGCAGAAACTACAGTGCTAAGTAGACTGCCTATTTAAAATGGATAGAACACAGTTTGCTCAGATACACCATGACATAAAATGGCATTTGTGTTCCTGTATGTTGGATGACATGTTAAGTCAACTTATTTTGTATAAAACGCTTAACTAATTTTGTTTTAACGTTAATTTGAATTGTCTGCCGGTTCATCGGGTTCATCCTTTGAGGGTGCATTGAACGAGTGAGGCCTTCAGGAGGAGAGAGCTGAGACTACACAGGGAAATCAACAGTCTGGAAAGGGGCAGTTCGTTCTCACACGGTGCCTCTCTCCCTAGCTGGCTGCTCAATGTCACAAAATCGGGACTGAGCAATCTATGACAAAACACTGTTATTTTTCCTGCTGCCCTGTATACTCTACCAGTCGTCTTGATCAGAATCCCCACAGTTCTTCTAAGCAAGCCCCACCATCCCAGTTCTCCAGAGATTATCGCCCCCTTCCCGCTGAAGGAACAAAGCCACCTATTCGCAGTGTCCTCAGGTTCCTTCCCTTCCGTTACCATGTTACCACGTCCTCTCACCCCAAGTCACCCTCTCAAGCCTCATTCTTCCCAATGGTCCAGACGCCATGTCCTCCCTCCCCGATACACTGCTCTATCAGCGGTATCATCCCGTCTTCTCCTTCAACCCTTTTTGGATCTGCAAATCCACCTGGGCCCAACGAGCATCCCTTGACACCCAATTTTTTCTCATAGGAGTGTTTTTCAAATTTCCTACCATTAGTTGTAAAGTTGACACAGTGTGTAAGCACCAAACAATTTTAAAAATGAAATACACTGGCCCATATTAGAATAGCAGAGAACAGGATTCACACACATTGTAATGCCAAGGGCAAATTGTGACTCCTGACCCTCCAGTTTCCAAGAACATATGAGTGAGTATACAGGGTTCTGATGCAAAATGTAACAACCACTGAAGCTCATCAACAAAAAAGAGTTTGAAAAACATTTGCCACTATTCACTATACTTTCTTTCATTTCTAGACTAACAAAATAAGAGGCTAACGCATGCTGCCTCAATTTTGTCATCTCCCATTTGCCCCTCTCTGCAAACGGTCCCCCTAAGCTGCCACCCTTGGCTTCAGCTTCCCTGTGCCCTCCTGGGGATCCGCCTCTAGCCGTCTTTCTCTTCCCTCTCTCACCAAAATGAAATATTCCTTAATATTTAAGATTCCGCCCTCCTTTTTGCTCCCTCGGGTCATTTCAGCTGAAACTCTGTGGCCTACACTTGCATCTGTACTTGTAGATCTGACATTCCCCTCAGAATTTCTACACCTGCCTTCTCAATGGCCTGCTCCAGCCATCCAGTCTCACATTCCAAAGGAACCGCGGACTGTGTTCAGATCTGAACGCATAGGCACTTAGAAAGCTCCTCCTGTGTCACGACTTGCCAGTGTTATCTGATTCAACGACTCCCTTTCGTGGTGAGTTTTGATTAAGATCTGGTGGATTCTACCACCACACACTCCTTCCTCTTCCATTTTTGCATGACCACTATCCCCTACCCAATTCACTTACTCAAAAGTTAATGCCTCCTGCACTGGCTGGTGTGACTCAGTGGACTGAGTGCCGGACTGTGAACCAAAATGTCACTGGCTTGATTCCCAGTCAGGGCACATGCCCAGGCTGCAGGCCAGGTTCCTGGGTGAGGGTGTGCTAGAGACAAGGCAACTGAGTAATGTTTCTCTCCCTTTCTTTCCTCTCTCTCTAAAAATAAAAATGAAGTCTTCTTTAAAAAAGTTAATGCCTCCTATATAATAACAGTTTAACAAGATTTTATGTCTTCAGCTTCCTTTATGCCAATCAAATCACATACTATATTAATACTCCTAAAACACAGCACTTTTGGGCCTATGTCACCAGTGGCTAGGTGACTGTGGCCTGGGGCACTGCTCCTGCTCCACCTGGTTTTGCCTGCTCTCTCATTCCTGTTCCTGTGTGGTGAATTCTTCAGGACAGAGCCCTCAGGTCCACCACAAAATCTGCATTCTAGATATTCCACACAGTGCTGGGTGGGTGCTATATCACACCAACTACATTCACCTACACCAGCAGCTGTAAAGAGAGGTCAGCTGTAAAGACTCTGTGCCAGCCTTGGATTCTAGGAAATCTTGCTTAGGCTTTGAGTCCTGAGCCTCGTGCTTTTGCACTGCTTTCTAGAAAAGACAGCATACCTACAGACAGGCTCCAGAAAAAAAAATCCACTTTTAAATAGCAGCCCCCTCCCTGCCCCTGTGATTTTTCTGCACATTAGAAGAATTCTTCTGCGCTCTGCAAAGTTCTTCACAATGACTTATTGTGTCTTTTATTCCCTTCTTCAGGCCAGATAATCTACCTTCTTTTTCTCCACATGGTATCCCATGTAACCTGTAAATTTGGAACAAATGCCCCTGTCTCTGAAGAAACATGGCCTGAGCATCTAAGTGGGAATTCCTCCTGCCTCTCCCGCTATGCTCCCACAGCCCACTGCCTACGTACCAACAGAAGCATTCAAAACACATTTTTTAAAGCTTTTACATCTGTCTCCACAACTTGTGTCCTCCAGTGAGTCTTAAACAAAGCTTGGCACCCAGCAAATGCTGAAAAATGGCTCCTGAATAAATCCATCCTGTCCGAGGAAGGAGGGCTACTGGGGTGAGCAACGCTGGAACTCAGAAAGAAATGATGAAGCCAAGAATTGCATAGGAGATGCATGAAAGGGAAATAAGTTACCTTGGTAAGAGTTAAAATTGGTGGAAAAGGTTTCATGCTTTACCAATTAGGAAAGGTTCTTTACTTTATCTAAATCCTTACCAGCACAGTGCACTTTAAAATACACTGCTCTGTAAGCCTCGACAGTTGGCAGTTCTAGACCTACCTCACTTACCTCTACAGAAGTCTGTGGTCCTCTCTACAGTGGGTCGTACTGTGCCTCTAGTCCCCAAGCCAAATAAATTCCCTTCCTCCAGAAGTGGGATCAGGGCAGATCTGGGAACTGTGCAGCCTGAAAAGGGGGGAGAAAACGACACCTTTCAGCCCTGTGTCTGCTATGTCCAAAGAGGGAAAACCCCAAGAGCCTCCGGAAGAGGCTCAGGATTGGGGACAGCAAAGGAGATTTTGTTCAAGGAGAAACTGAACGTTTGATCAAAAAGAAACTGACCTCTTCCCATATAAGAGGAGGAAAGTTAGTGAGACCCTGCAAGACAGGTGCAAACAGAGGGAAGGGTTCACACCTTTCCCAAGACAGTGGGGGGATAGCAACGAACTGAGAGCTTGGCTCTGGCAACAGAAACCACCTATGGTGCAGAGCCCCTTAGAGGACGGGACTGCTCTTATGAGGGGACGACGATTCCTACATTGGAGCCAAACTGACCAAAGACCTTTCCCTACCACCCAGGAATCTCTGAAGTGGGTCATTTGGCCTCAGCCCCGGAGCTGAGCAGTGGGAGGTACCAGAGACGACCCCTCCGTCCCCACACCATGCCCCAGCCAGCAGGGAAAAAGAAGGAAGCAGGAAAGCATAGATCTGAGTCCCAGGAGGAAAGTGGCCTTACCCGGGGATGTCAAGTTCCCATAATTCTCCAGCATCACACTTCTGTACAGGGCCCCCTGTGTGGGGGAAAGGCCAGCCCATCCTGCCTGAGAAAAGTCCCCAGCCACATCCTGGAAGGTCACCACCTGCTGAAACAAGAGGTTCCTGCTGCCCACAACCCAATTCTCTGACTCAGGCCAGAGTGTGGGACACAGAGGACAGTATGAGGGAGGGGTCTTATTAGGGGAGGCTGATGAGAAAAGGCGAAAGAATTGAGTGTTGGACCCTTCAATGACTATTTCTACAACTAAAAATCTGGATTTCTCTATCAGAAGAGCTTCCATTAGGATATAAGGTTTACTGTTATTATAAAACATGATAAAAAATTTTTCAAAAACACTGGACAATCTCCCATTAATGAAACTTCCCAGAGCAAAATCTCTTTGATTTTGTTAATACTGTGTTTTACTGTCACACCTACAAGTTGGCAATTAGCTTCAATATGTCTACACACTTACTCACAGGTGGCATCTCACCACTGACCTGTTCCCATGTCATCACTAGCCCCAGTGCCCAGCCAATCCATCTGCCCCCCACATGTGCTCACTCTGCCCCAAACCTCAAGCCCACATAACAAGAACAAAGTCATGGTTTGTCACGATGAGCCCCTATCACCCAACTCCCCTCCGTTGCTTGAAGGGCCTGAGCTGCCTGTGTTTGAGAACGACCAGCAGAGGAAGCTCGGTGCCATCTGAGGGGGCAGCCTTGTGTTCTGCTTTCTGATGCCTTCTCTTGGGAGAATATGCTTCTGGAATCAAATTGCTGCTGGGTAGCTCCTTTGGCCACTTTTTATATCCCCAAAGCCATCTGTAACAGCTTCTGCCAACCGAGCCTCGAGTTTTTTCATAGCCATCCTTTCCCCTCCCTGAAGGCACCAAGTCTACCTTCCCAGAAAGCTCCAGCATCTGGTTTAGACCCTCTACTCACTCCTCCGACTTCAGTATCAAACGGTTACCTGAACATGCACTGAACATCCTCCACTGTCCATCGCCCCGGCACTGACTGCCTCAGACTCTGCTGACCCAACGTGTCTGACCCCCATCTAACACCAAACTCAGATGCCCTCATGAATGGGCTCCCTCTCTAATTTGTATAAACTAATAAACCCAGTGAGTGACAATTTTCTTTCCCTATCTCAGTTGATAGCACCTATTCCAGCCCCATCTCTTATATCAGAAACTTAAGATTCATCCTAGACTGACTCACCCCAGTCACTGCTCACTTCTAACTGTTGGTAATCAAATCCTGCCAATTTTATTACCAAAATATTTCTGGAATCTGACTCTTCATCGTCAAGGTACAATCAGTACCTTATTCAATAGATGGGAACACTTTAACAGCTGCCTGCACTGAATCCATCCACCCTCTGCCAGCACCTACAATGACCTGCTTTAAATGACAACCTGACCCACCCAACTGAATGACTTAATGAGTCACCACTAACCATAACAGTGGTTCTCAAAGTGTGGTCCCCAGAGTAACAGCATCTGACAACTTGTTGGAGATACAAACTGGTACCCATCACCAGCCCCTGAGAGCAATTTTTGCATCAAGAGCCCTCCAGGTGATTATGATGCACGCTCAAGTCTGAGAAAGCTAAGCTAGAAGAAAAAAGCCCAAGCTCAGGAAATTGAGCTGTATCAGGTGACCAGTAGATGGTGAGGAGGGAGGCGCAAGACTGACTGTAAACAGAGAAACTAGCTGGGAAGCTCTGCAAACAAAATCCCAGAGAAGAAACAAGTCCTGAATGAAGGCAATATAAATATGGGACAAGTGGAAGAGATAGCAGGCAGAAGCATCAGACGTGGCGATTCTCTGGAAGTGGTACCTGGGAAGAAGTCAACAAGTACTCAGCAATCTGGAAACTAAGTGGTGAGGACTTCGAGATGGTGATACCAGTGACTCGCCAGTACTTACAGAAGACCAGAAGAGGGCGGGAGCAACAAGGAACACAGTGTATCAGTGGAAGATTTCTGACATGCTGCCCAATGTCAGAAATCTGGGACAGGCACTTGCGATATGGTGCTTGGATGCTAAGTTACTGGATTAATAAGTCCCAGGAAGGAAATGAAGCGACACTCAGCAACTCATCAAACTCAAAACATGAAATACAACTCAAAAAATCAGTTTCCCCATCCAACTAATGTAAGGTACCTAATGTTCCCTTTACAAATGAAATCAGTTAAGATACAAAAAGGTTAAGTGACTGACTCAAGGTACAGAGTACAGATGTTTCTTATTGTAGCCCCTGCCTTGCCTTAGCCAGCAGCGCTGGCCTCGAGGAGGATATACTTTCCTTGATTCTGAAACCAAAACTTCTTCAGGAGGGTAAATGATATAAGCTCCTTCCTTCTCGTCTTCTTCCTGTCACTCTTCTGTCACCACTTCCCAGGACCCTTGCGACCAGATACTTATAGCACTAGCCTGACTCTCTCATTCTCACAGACCCCTCTAAACCTGGGGACCCTCCAGCTCAGCAGAAATCATCAGAGTATAAGAGGCTACAATTCCACTTCCCAGGACACTCTCTCCGGCGACTGCCTGGTGGGCTCTGGCTGTTCAACCCCTGACCATCCAGCATCCAGTCCTACTGCAGAGTAGCAACAAGGGTCTTCCTGCTGCTTTGGCTCTAAGACTTTTGCCAGAATCATCCCTCTCATTGCCCACTGCCTTCAAATCAGATCTCTCGAAGGGTGACCTGAAGGATTCTCATCTCACCTGGTGCCAGGCTTTCTAAGGCATGGCTGTCATCCCTGGGTTCCCTCTCGGTGAAGGGCAGGGACTGAGGGAAGAAGTAAAAAGAACCATGAGTGAGCCTGGCCCAGTCCAGGGGTCTCCTTTAAACCAACAAATTTGCCAATAACAGCAGCAATCATTTACTAAATGCCCACTGGGTAAGTGGTATATAAATATTTTCTTTTTTAAATTCCACACCATGGATCCAGACCATACCATGAAGTTGTCAACATAAGAAACATTCAAACCTGTAAAGAATTTTTATGAGTTTATTTGAGCCAAACTGAAAATTGCTATGAAGCAAAATCTCAAAAGATTGAGAAACGCTCCAGAGAATGGCAGTTTAGCACCTTATTTTATACATTTCAATCAAAAGAAGAGGTGAAGGAGGTTACAAGAAATCCACTGGTGATAGATTAGGGAGGTTGGAAAAAGCAAAGGGGAGAACCTGTGGCTTTGGATAAAAAGTAAAATGATGGACACTTATGCAGGTTTAAATTAGGAGGAAAGATTCCAAAAGGTGCCCTCAGGCACCAGAGCGTGTATTCCCCGACAGCGAACAATGCTGTCTGTGCCAACATGAGTACACACAGAGCAAAAGACACCGGAAAACTAGAAGCAAAACTCAACAAGAGGAAACCCAGACCTTCATTTTTAAAAAATATAATTTTACTGGGAAACTAAAAGACAAGAAAATAGAAACAAATACCAAATTTTTAAAAATTTTAAAAAGATTTTTATTCACTTTTAGAGAAAGGAGAAGAAAGGGAGAAAGAGGAGAGAAATATCGGTATGTGAGAGAAACATGAATTGTTTGCTTCTTGCACATCCCCAACTGGGGACCTAGCCTGCAACCCAGGCATGTTCTCTAACTGGGAATCAAACCAGCAACCTTTCAGTTTGCAGGCTGGCACTCAATCCACTGAGATACATCAGCCAGGGCAGCAAATGCCATATTTTTGGATGAAAAATACTCATCTTCTCACTCAGTAACTACAATAATCCTCTGAATCTTTTCTTTTTCACAAATGAGAAAACAAGGCTAACAGAATGACTTTCTCTACCAAGGTCAATGTTGGTGGTTGGATGAACTTGGATCCCAAGCCAGATCTGCCAGATTCCAAAGGCCATGCTTTTAATAACTACGTTAAGTTGCTTCCAATCTAATCCTAGCAGGATTTCTCTTGGAACCTGATAAAGTGATTCAAAAGTTAATATGGAAAAATAGATCAGTAGCCAAGAAAATTCAGAAGAATCTGAGGAAGTCTTCCTTTTCTTGGACCTTGGCCCAAGCATCTTTTTTGTACACCATCTCATTCTAGGACCCAGTGATAACTACAAAGGACCCTGAAAAGCCAACTCAACATGGCAGAATGTATGGCTTATTACTTTAATTATATGTCCTATGAACACTCTGTATTCTTGTTAAGCAGTCACATGCTACCAAAAAGCCAGCATCTCCCCTAAAGAAACTCATTGCAAGCTCTAGCTTCCTGATGGGCTCATCTGTGCCACCCTTCCCCCAGTTTAGCCACTCCAGCCTGCTTTCAGTTTTTTTACTCTGCTAAGTCAGGACCTTAGTACCTGCTCTGTGTGAATCACTCTTCTCCAGCCTTAGAACCTTTGTAACTGATCCTGTCCCCCTGCAGTGCTCTCCAGGGCATGAGCCCCTCTTCACCGAGGTAATGCCAGCTCATCCTTCCCATCAGCCCCTATAGATCAGGGCAGGTCCCCATATTACACACTCCACTAGTCCCGCATTCCCTTTCCTGTACATCACATCTCCTAGATTGAGATTACACATTGATCTGTGTTTTCTTCCTTCAACAAACACTTATTGCATACTTATTTCATTCCAGGCCAAGTGTGAGATACAATGGAGAAAGAAACAAAGGTGTGATCCCTTTCTTCACTAAGCTTGGTTTAGACTAAAGGAAACACACATATTACTCAAAGATTCTCGTAAATAACTTTAAGATCACAATGTGACTAGTGTCAGGGAGAATCTAGTCTGGGTAAGACTTAGTAGGAGTTAACTAGATTAAAAGGAAAAAGCTTTACAAAAGTAACAGCAAGTACAAAAGTATGCTCTAGAAGTGAAAGTCCAAGATGACACAAGGGGAGTGTGCTTCAACATGAGGGTGGAAAAGCTACAAGAGACCGAACCACGCAGGGCCTTGTGCAGCTACTTGTTTACGACCAGGTGGGGTGAAATGATCAGATTTGATTAATATGTAACTCTCCCATTAAACTCAAAGCTCCCTGAGGTCAGGCCCCACACCCCGTCTCATTCATAGCTGCATCCAGGGAACCTAGAACAGCGACTTGTCCTTAG